ATTTTTAGTCAGGCGACGAGACAACAATACTTGGCGTTCCAACTTTTCGCCAAGTGTTGCGCCACGTAGGATAAAGTTTTATAGATTCAATTTGTAAGATAAAAAAATTAGGGCATGTACAGTTCAACTTTATTTCAATTCAGTCAGTTCAGCTCCAATTAGTTTAGTTCAATTCAGTTCAGCTCCAATTAGTTTAGTTCAGTTTGATTCAGTTCAGCTCATGATTTCCTACTCTCATAAAATATTCATTTCAACTTAGTTCAGTTCAGTTTAGTTCAGTTCAGCTCAAATCAGTTTAGTTCAATTCAGTTCAGATCAGCTCCAATCAGTTGAGTTCAACTTAGTTCAGTAAATGTGAACATACAGGCTATAAGGAAGGTGTTCCCATCGTAGGGGATCCTTTTTCTTAGATTCTCATGGCCCTCTAAAAGGCTAGGACTTTACACTTATTATGGTGTATTAGGATTTGAATTCCTGACTGTTTGGGGGACCTTGAATTAGAGTTGATTATATCATCACGCTTTTCTATAAGAAATAAGTAGGCTGGAGTCGCCAATGAGTTTTAGGCTATTAGTGGTGTAACACTATAATTATATTTATCGTTAGTGCTTGTAACATAATAATTCGTATTTAATTTCAAAAATAAAATTGTCAAAAAGTATTATAAACCACATGAAAAATTTAACTACGATATATTTATTTTCTTATTATTTCTAATATTTACTAAAATAAACACACGAAAAATAAAACAAAGTACAAAGAGCTTATTAACAATGAGTTTTGTAAAAATACTCCTTTGACTATGAGTGTTTTAAAATTCACAACAAAGTGATGCTTAGATTTTGCAAAAAAAAAAAAAAAAAAAAAAAAAAAAAAAAAAAAGGTGTAAAGGGCGGGAAATTTTTTCACAAGATAATGACAATTATCATGGAAGGATTTGCTTTTAGTATAGGTTAATAGGTGAAAGGCATAATTGATGATAATAATGTAGATAGTTCTAAGATGCGCATATAATGGGACTATGGCAGCAACAGTTGATCATTAATAATGTTGCATATCTCAAACACTTCTCTAAACTTTATACCCCGTAATTCTCGGCTTTCTGTTACGGTTACTATTTTATACAACCTTTATGTTTTTTTTTTGAAAGATTATACTACCTTTATGTTAATTAGGATTAATTTGGCGGGTTTATCCATAATTGGGTTTATCCATAACCCTACTTTAGCAATTATAGTCCACTAATACCCGCGATTAGTGCAATTTGAGTTGCTAATTGGCGCAGCAAACATTCGACTACAGTACTAGTTATTGCGTAGGTCTAAAGTATCTTTATGTCTTGATTTTTTTTTTTCATTTTTTCCACATATGATGGAGCCTACGCTTTGTCCAGTGGAGCAGTTTGGAAGACTTTTTTTTTTTTTTTTTATTTTTTTTTTTTTTTTATTTTTAATTTTTAATTTTTTTTTTAAATATATGTGATTCGTAGAATTTATTTGGTGGACGAGTTGGACATGTTCCGTTCACCTTATAATCTTATATTCACTTATTTAAAATGTGAACTATGTTCAGATAAGTTTAGTTAACTTCAGATAAGTTCAATTTAAGTAAGTTTAATTTTAGAAAAAATAAGTTTTGATAAAGGTTACCCTAAAACAAATTACAGATAGAATAAGTTTTATAAGGTCTGGTTCAAATAAAATAAGATAAATTTAGATACCTGAAAATCATGTGAATAAAACACATCTTAAACAATAATGATATTTCAAATTACTATTTTCAAGGAATAACCGAATCTATTAAATATTAATAAAACATAAGTTGCTGATGTCACCATTTCCCACTTGTTGCTTTCTCAATAAAAAAAATTCCGCCTAAATGCAATGATGATGTCATTTTTTAATTTATTTTGAAGCTACCATATTTAACATTTTTGAAATTTAAATATTGAAAACTCCTACATTACAACTAAAACCTATTAATTTATAGTAGGAAATTGAAACAATTTTAAATAGCACACTATTAAATAACCTCCTACATTGAAATATGAATTAGACAAAGTTGAACAGATTGTACGGAATATATCAAAATTTTGATGAAAATTAAAAATTTAAAAATTACAAAATATACGTAATTCTTATTTATATTCATGCATAATAGCAATTTATTTTTAAAATGTACAATTTAAAAATAAGTTTATATAAATCGTGCATTATGTGCATCGCACGGGTTCTAACCTAGACACCTAATAAGGAAATCTATGACATTGCGTGGCCACCAACATAAAAGAGTAAGACCCTATTTTTTTAGTTTCTAAGCAAAGCAGGGAATATCATATGCAGAACATGTGTCAGCACGACTGAACAAGTGTCAGCACATTGTTAATACCCACCATCCCAGCACAAGACACTGCATGATCCCCGTAAATATCCCCATAAAAAACTCTTAAGTAAGCTGAACACGAAGTTGAAACGGAGTACAAAGGATTATTATTATTATTATTATTATTATTATTATTATTATTATTATTTTGAGGTATTTGATTAAATTAGATTATATGACCACAGACTTTGGTCTTGTATGGACCCGGTCTACAATAAATTATTGTAGACCCAAAATTTTATACTTTCAAATAATATAATCACATTCTGGATGATATAATCACTTTTTTAGATGATATAATTATCTTTTTGTGAGTCATATTTTGATCTCATATTAAACCATTTAATGAGATTATATAATTATCTTTAGGATGATAAAATTTAAAAATCATCTTTTGAATGATGTAATTTACTATTTGATACTTTTTATAATTATAAATTCACTTTTTGAGTGATACATTTACATAATAGTTTCAAGATGACATAATCACTTTTGTAATAATATAATCACATTTCGTATGGTACACTAGAAGGTTGGGTCTACAATAAGTTATTGTAGATCGGGTCTATTCTAGTCTTTGTTATTATAGAATTCTCACAATAATGACAAATTCACAAACTCACAGCTCAAATACCAAGTTCACACATAATTTGCTTGAAAAACCTAATTTATTATTTTAGCTCGCATGATCGAGCTATATAGTTAAGGACCTATGAAAATTGCAAGTGTCCTTAGTTACAACTATTAGAGTTGCTCCAGCTAGGGAAACAACAAAGATATAAGTAGTTAAAGTAAGAAATCACTAAGATAAATCAAATATCAATTACAAGGATATCAGACATGGTCACAAAATACATGAGTGAAACAATAAGGGCTGGGCAAAGACATATGGAGCTATGTTTCTAAATTGAGCATTTGTTTCATCAACACCTTTTATATACACCTGGATGTACATAGAGATAGGCGCATTCAAGTGTGATTTTTGCTCATTTGATATTTTTTCACTTATTTTATTATTTCATAGATCAAAATTAGAGGTATTCGTTCGGTTTTCGGATTCAGTCCAAACCCGATCCAATCCGAAATATAATTCAATTTTAAATTTTCCAATTAATCCAATCCGAATTTCTCTCCCAATCCAATCCGATCTAAGTTGAAATAAAATTCGGTTATTTGAATCCAATCCGAATTATAGTACATTATTTTTTAGCGCCTAATTCGATTATAAAATAAAGTTTTAATATAAATAGAAGTGTTCAAAATCATGATTAAAATAAATAATTTTTTTTGGTGAAAATTAAATAAATAATATAGTTCAACATTAAGTCATTAATTAATTAATACTGTACAAAGTATCCCAAATTTATTTTATGTAGTAGTAAGTATTTGAGCTAAACTTTCAAAAATAAAGAAATACGCATTTATACGAAGTACAAGCTTATTTTTACAATTCGGATTTCGGTTTCTCAATCTGATCAGGTCCGATTAAAATTTCAAATTCGATCCGAGTTGCTAATTCGGTTTGAATTGAGTTGGATTTCAGTTTTAATCCGAATTATGGACACCCCTAAATAAAAAATGATGAAGCAAGATTCAAAATCAAAATCAAAATATTAGACTTTTAATCAATTTTGGATCCAACATGCCTGTTAATGTATTTTATAAAGTTGACATATTACACTAACTGACCTATTTTTGTAAGAACTGTAAAATTTTGAATTGTAAAATGGTGGGTTATGTTTTTGGATTGGTCAGTTAAACAACAAATATGCGAGAAATGAGTTTGTGGCTGGTACTTTTGTTTTACTTGGGTGAAAAATTAAATTGGGTGTAAGTTGGACTCATCATGCTAGTTGTGTAGCAGCAGTCTGGGTTAAACAAGCTAGCCTAATGGGCTCATAGAAAAAATGGGCTTTCCCTTTTATGGGCTAGTCTGACTGGGCTATAAAATCCGTTTCACCCATGTTCACTTCCAAATTTTGAGCACATAAAAAACATAACTCTATTGATTATTGTTTATATGACTTCCGTTTTATATTATTTGCAATGATTAAACATTTTTTCTCTCATATTATTTGCAACAATTAGACATTTTTTTTCTACTATATGTCAAATTAGTGCAAATAATATGAAACGGAGGTAATATAAAATATAACCATCAAATGAGCAAAAACTTCCTCTAAATTCACCTTACACTTGGGTGTATGTAAGAATTTAATGAACAACAATTTTATGTTGCGCTAATTGTGGCCGTAAATAATTGATAGTTGAACTTTTTCAAAAGCATACCTTTAACTCCAAAAGTATATAATGATCTAATTAGTGATCGATAATTGATAAAAATTTTCCACAAATAATCCATGCATTTACATTTAGTTTACCCAACCTAATTTTAGAACTTTATACTTGTAATCAAATATTGGATTATTGGTCATGCGAAATATAATCATCAATTGTATTGTGATTTGTGAATAAGAAGAATCAACCACAAATAATGCATGCATTTACATTAGTTTAGCCAAGCAAAATGGATGGATAAATTTAGTCTATATATATTGCAACACATACTATATCATTCCTCTAGCAAACAATTCAAATCCAATCACAACAAAAAAAATATGAGGTTACTCCAACTTTCAATTTCATTACTATATACCGCGATATTTTTATTCAAAAGTAATTTATGCATTGACGAAAGTGATAAAAAATTCATCCTTGAGGGCCATAACAATGCTCGCGCCCAAGTAGGGGTAGCACCAATTTCATGGGACAATAAGATTGAAGCCTATGTTCAAGACTATGTTGATAAGGTAAAATCTGATTGCATTGTCAAAGATGGTGTAAAGAGTCCATATGGGATGAACATCGCGTCGGGTTATGAGGCTAGCATTGGTTGGGCGGTCATAGGTGATTGGGTTAGTGAAAAGAACAACTATAACTACGCTTCAAATTCATGTGTCAAAGGTAAAGAATGCTCTCATTATACTCAATTGGTTTTTCGTAACTCCGTTCGTGTTGGTTGTGGTAATGTTTCTTGTGGTGCTGGATGGCCTTACTATGCTTGTGCTTATGATCCTCCGGGAAATATCGAAGGACAACGCCCTTATTAGTTGAATACTTGAATCCCTATGTATTTTTATGCAATTACTCTCTTCCTTTGTTAAATCAATTCAAATAGGTTGAGTTTTTGATTGAAGATAATATGTTTTGATCGAGTTGTAACATAACTAATAATCCTGTTAGTTTTCTTTGGTGTTCGGAGAGCCACAAGGATGAGGGTAAGAATTGATCTAAGGATTTCCTTAAATATGAAGGGAATCTCTAAAACTTGAGTTATCCCTCACTCTCATCCTGTTAGGTTTGGTTAGGTTACTCTCTCTCTCTCCTTTTTTTTAATTTTATTTTTATTTTTTTTAATATAATGTAATTTATAAGTTGGGGGATTATCATAGCGGATTATATAAGAATAATAATTTGCTGCTTTGATTTTAATTAGTTCTTTTTCCCATGCATGTTAGATGGGATTGTCTTACTTCATTCAATTGCCATGTTTGATTTCAATCAGAGAACTGGTTATGCTTGAGGATTTTTTAAAATTTTATTCCTAATGGAGGTTAGTCAACGTCGGAAAATTAGGTCTACATCAGAAATAGAATAAGTATTTTATAATATTTTAGTTTTTATTAGGTTACAACATTTTATTTAATAGGTAGTTTTCACAAAATCTGGGTTTTATCAGGTTGTTTAGTTAGTTTATTATTATTATTATTATTATTATTATTATTATTATTATTATTATTATTATTATTATTATTATTATTATTATTATTATTATTATTATTATTATTATTATTATTATTTATTATTATTATTATTATTATTATTATTATTATTATTATTATTATATCTCAAAACCATACAAAGTTATACAACCTATAGATAATTAGTGGGAAGCCCAAATACAATATGGTCCCCCACTCCTCTAGCTATAGAAAAGCCGATCGTAGTAAAGATATGGGCTGCGGCACGCGCCCCGATATCCTGAGTCTTCGAGAACTTCTGGATTCGCTTAAGCAATGCAACAACCTCCTTTTCTAACTCCCCAAGAGAAGAGAAAGAGAAAGGAAGGAAGCCATATCCGATTGTCGGACAACTAGATTCTAACTTGACCCGCTTCCGATTGGCCGCATCAGTCACTACCCGTCCAGGAACAAAGGCAGAAAGCCCAGACTGTGTCAAAGGAGAAGACCCTGTCAAGTCAACACAGACATCGCAACCACGATCCCATGAATAAAGTAACACATCTGCAGGTCTGAGAGCCCCGTCGTTCCCTCCAGATAACCCAATGTCCACCTCCTTTCTAGCTGAAATCCCTGACCGATAGCAAACATCAACAAGGGTATCCCGAACAACATTATGCCGATGTTTGATGCCCACAATACCAGCACAAGACACCTCGTGATCACCGTAAATATCCCCAGTAAAAACTCTTGAACAAGCATAGCACGACGTCGTGATAGAGAACAATGGAACACCCAACCGGTAGCACAACACACGGCGATAAGTCTTGGCGCTCGTCGTCTGACCCAACCTTGAAATAGGGATCGCCCTAAGCCAAGCAGAGGTGTGATCTCTTTGCTATGATTTCCATAATGCTGATTGCCGAGGAGTTAAAGAAAAAGCAGAGTCTGCTGAAGCGGTAACCTTTGTGAAATATATATCTGCCAATTTCTTCATGAGTTTAGGGGCAGCAACCTCACTAGGATTACTCAAAATGTCAGACTCCACTGTTCCATTAAATAGACTCAGCGCATCCTCAAAGGCTCGTCCAAGACCAACAACACCAGCATGCCGTAGAAGTTGTGTCTGAACCCAGCAGACTGCAACCGAGAAGCAAGAAAAGCATAGTGACGAACATCACCTGTGGAATAAACACCAAGCCCTCCAAATGCGAATGGTAAGGTGGCAAGCCGCCACTGCCAGTCGCCAAACCCAAGCCCTGAAGCAGTAACAATACGCTCCAAGGAAGATTGAAGAGCCCCATAGAAAGTGCGTTGAGCCGCCTCAAAAGTACTAGGAGGACAAGTACGTAATGCAAAGTAGAGTTTAGAAACTCCGGTACAGGCCCTAAGTAACAACAGCTCACACTGAGGATCATCCAGCATAACGATCTTATCCATAAGGGCAATGGTCTTGGTCACTCTCTGCATCACAAGCTCACCACTAAAACTAGGATCGGAACTAGCGGGACCACCAAGCAACTTAACTCCAGGCAAAGGTCGAGCAATATTAGGTGGAAAGACACCCTCACGCCTGCTTCGAGGATTTTTTGTAGGCCAGAAAATTTCAGTTTTTTCCACGTTAAGACGTAACCCAAAACGAGGCCCTTCCTCCATAATCAACTGTAAAACCTTCCCCACCACTAATGTGTCACCAATAATAGTGTCGTCATCCAAATACCAAGCCTGAAGACATACATTAAAAGTCTCTCTGATTTTACACACCAGGGGTTGTAAAACTAAAGCAAAAAGCAAAGGACCAAAGGGATCACCCTGCTGCACCCCTTGAGATGACCTTAAGGTTTGGTCCCTATAATATAATCTGGCTGGATTAGAATAGCAGAATTCAACCCATCACAAAATGCATGGACAATGGCGACGAACTTCATGTAACATGACCGAACGATCAACTAGATTGAAGGCGTTTTGAAAATCCACCAACAACATAGAAAGACCAACATCAGAACCACGGTCCTCAATCAACCGATTCACTACATGAAGAATTGCCTCACCACCTGAAGAGACCCCGACACCAAATTGAAGACCATCAAAGTAACTCCCTAAGGACTGACCAACCATAACAGCACCCACCTTCGAAACTAGACACCGCCAAACTGTACCCACAACAATAGGACGAATACCACCACCGGGCTTGACAAGTGGTGTAAGAGGAGCACTAGCAATATACTCTCCTAATTCCATAGGACATCTTTTAGCTAAGAAGATTAACCACCCCAATAATATAGTCAACCAACTCATCCGAGACTGCCACAGCTGCACCACTCAAGCAATCCATAAGATGTTGAGCACGCAAACCATCCCTACCACATGATGTTCCACGAGGGAAACTCTTAATCCGATCCAAAACAACAACAGAAGTCGTAACGAGATGAAGTTGATCAATGGGTATATCAGGCAATGATGGAGCTGGAGATGAAGGATGCTTTGACTGTAAATCCGCAAGAGTGGCGTCATTATATGGAGCAACGCCTGAAGAAGAAAGAACCCGAACAACAGCGGTGTAATGGCCATCGTAAATCTTCCTACGACACTGCTTAATAATACGCTCTTCCAAATCAAGGTCCTCATCATCAACCACCGACAATGTAAGAGAATCCTCTGCCAAAATTTCCTTCACAAGCTGCAAATTACCACCCGCTACACTCCAAGAACAAATAGCACGGGAAATACTCTCTTCATGATGCCGACGTCTAATCGAAGACCGAGACTCACGACTGCTCCGCGGGCGAAAGGTTTTTAGGATGCAAAGAGGTAACACCAACAAAGAGACCCAATAAGAAATGTCATCAGGCTTAGAGATCACCTTATCAAGAGCACCTTTTAAAACCCGAGAAAACCCCAAACGACACTTGGAAGGGATAGACTTAACAAAGCGAAACCCCTTAGAGAATAAACAGTCAAGGAGAGCCACATCAAAACCACCGCTATGATCTTGTGTCAAACCATCCACATGTCCAACTCGAGCAGGAGAAGAAGGAGATTGCGGCTTGGTGAAATTATGTAACACAAAACGAATAGTACCATCTCCTTCATCAGGGGGTGACACGTCCTCACCCCTACCATGACAACAGTTCTATATTATTATTATTATTATTATTATTATTATTATTATTATTATTATTATACGAAGTTAGATCCTATTATCGTGGATTATTTTATGTCTAATTAATATAGAAGATTATGTGTAATGGAGTTTCCAAACAAGTACATCAAATATCAATCCATCAAATTGCTAAGCTCTAAATTTTAGACTATAGATTTTTTTAACTTATAAAAGAATAAAATGTTGGACGCGTCGTCTCAAGAATAAAGCCCCAACCTATACAATCCGCTACCTATGCAATTTGCATATTAAGGAGTAAAAGCTTATAAAGTAATACAACCAAAATACCTGACTTTTGTACATTATCCAAATATATGTGAGGAAATGTTTTGTAAAACGTTTATTCAAAAACCTAATGCTCAAAATACATTTTATACGCCGACCAATGAAGATAGTCATTAGAAAGTGAAAGATAGCTCAAGTGGTCAAAGCTTTCCTCCCAATTCTAGGAGATCCTGGGATTAATTCTCACCCCTGCCGCTCTTTAAACACGGAAAAAAAAATGAAGATAGTCATTACAAAAATAAATCAGCAAAAACACTATTTTTAACTTCAGGCAATCAAGAACCCTTCAATAATACATTGTCATTAAGAGTTCATCTTTAAAATCCTTTTACGACAACGGTTTCAAATCAAGGTCAACATTCATATCTATTTGTTAGTTAATGCATGCATAGTATTCCAAACATAAATGAGTTGTATTTCACTAGCTATTGTATTGCCAAGTGATCAAACGAACGGCTATTTACTAAATATCTGGAAATTCAATGAATAAATAGAGTTGTTACAAAATTACATAGACTATAATAGAAATTTTAGATGTAAGTAAATATAACATCATTAAAACCAAATTAAAAAGTCGAGTAAAACGCATAAATATTTTAGTAACCGAAATATTTTAAATTGGAATGTAAAAATAATACTCCCTCCTTCCTTTTATTAGTATTCCATTTCTCTTTATTATATTGAGTAATAAATGTTAGAAATGAGACTCTAACAAAAGGACGGAGGGAGTATTATAACAAATTACAGTAATTAATATTCTTTTTGATCAAAATATGTAACATACTCTTCAAACCATACATATTTCTTTGGCATTGAAATTGTTTACACAATCAAATCCCAACCAACAAAAAAATGAGGTTACTCCTATTTTCAATTGCCTTACTCTATACCATAACATTCTTACTCAAATCTTATTCATGCCAAAACCAAGATGATGACAACAAAACCTTCCTAAATGGCCACAACGCTGCTCGCCGCGAAGTCGGGGTAGATCCATATACATGGGACAAAAGGCTTGAAGCCTATGCCCAAGACTATGCTAACAAGGCGAAATCTGATTGTAACACGGACAAAGGTTCAAAGGGTCCTTATGGGTTAAACCTTGCGTCGGGCTACGAAGCCTTGAGTAGTTGGCAAGCAATGGATGGATGGGCTAATCAAAAGTCCGATTATAACTACACATCAAATTCTTGTGCCAAAGGTAAAGATTGCACTGCTTATACACAAGTTGTTTGGCGTAAATCGATTCGCCTCGGATGTGGCGGTGTTGCTTGTGGCGCTGGATGGCCTTTATATGTATGTGTGTATGATCCTGCAGGAAACATTCCTGGCCAAAAACCTTATTAATTAACCAATACATAGTTCTTCATCAAATCAAATACTGTTGAGTTATTTCTTATTAGTAACAAAGATTATATTACGAGGAAAGTACGCGAAGGGGGACCTTCTACCGGGGCCCGGTCCCCAGTAAATTATTGTAATTAATTAGTTAATGAACTTATTAAATAAACTTATTTTACTTATAAAATATTAAAATATAGTGATTAGTTTTGAGCGGGCAAAAGGTAGAAGATTTAAATCTCGGCCCCTTTAATATTTTTGGCCAAGATCAGCCATGTACTAAATAAAACTAACTTAAGAAGAGCTCATTATTTTTTCTTTCATTAATAACAAAGTTGATGAGGAATGTAATACTATAATTGTCTTTTTTATAATTTTCATTGCAAATATTTGGGTTCAAAATAAATTTGTTTCAATTCATGTTGCACTTATCCTTATTAGTCCAACTCATCACAGTTAGCTTAGTTCAGATTAAATCTAGTATAACATTTAATTTTTGTGTTTGTGTTTATTTATTTTAATTTAAATATACTTTAATCCGTGGCTAAAAAGACATGAATATTACACGTTAATAATTTAATACAAATATACAATTGTTATTTGTCAAATTTCATTTGACATATATCATGATGAATTGTCTAACGAGTCAAATCTAAAAACTTCTCAACATAGCCAATGTTCAAAATTACCAATATATAAATAAAAATACTGATGGTCAAAGGTACATATTAAAAACCTTGTAAAGTTAAAATCAGAATATTAAATTAAAACAAATGTTTTTTTTTTTTTTTTTTTTTTTTCAATTATCAATATGTAAACATTAAATTATGTGTAATGCTAAATGTAGCCATTAGGGCTACAAATAAGCATTAAATACTTTAGGAATGGAATAAAAATCACACATAAATTAGTGTAATTAATGAATATATTACACTAATATTTCTCTCTTTAGTTTCTTATACATAGCCCTTAAAGCTATATATAACTTTTTTTTTAATTATTTTGATATTTAAAAAAAATACTACAGGATGACAAAATTACACGTAAATCAGTATAATTAATATACCAATTATTTGATTAATAATTTTCTCTTTTAACAGGGTACCCTATTAAATTTTCAGTTTCGAACACTAAACCTCAGGGATATAAGATCAAATATTTTTAGTATCGCAGCCAATAGTAATTTAGGATTTTCATATACACTTAAAAAAATACGAAGTATATCTTTGACTAAGCATAGCCTGGAAAAATGATTAAAGATCGAGGAATAACCTCAACAATTCCAAGACAATAGTGAATTATATTCTTTAAATCCTCTTTTTTTATTTTAAACGAATGGCATGTCTCAAAATAGCAACCTAATACAATGCTCGGGTTATACAATACTTAAGTGATTGAAAAATGTACAACTTTGCCAATAATAAAGATCAAAATTAATAAGTAACAGTTTGACTTTTACCACCACAAAAAATACGAAATTGTTTTTTACTACCAAAACTTCTAAAAGTTTTATTATACTACCAAGTAAAAATTTAAAAATTGTTCTTTTACTACATGTTAAAAATAACTATTAAATCTAACGGAATTTAAAAAAGTCTTGAATTTTCATTCTTTGGGACCAATTTATTAGTTATAAAATACTACGGAGTACAATATATATATGAATACCAATGACAGATCACTATTAGTATTTAAATTATTGATTGAGATAATTTTTTTTTTATCATAAGTAATTTATTTCCTTATATAGAAGATCATATGAGATAACATACCAAAAATATTACATCAAATTTTAGCCTATTAAATGATTTTATCCTATAAATAATGTAAGTAACACATACATTATTCATATGCTCCTCTAGCAATTACATTGCATTTTGGTTCCAATCAAATTCATCCCCCAAAAAATGAAGTCACTCCTATTTTCAATTGCCTTTCTTTTCACCATAACATTCTTATTCAAACATTGTTCATCCCAAATCCAACCAGGAGACAATAAAACCTTCCTAGATGGCCATAACGCTGCTCGTCGCGAAGTCGGGGTTGATCCATATACATGGGACAAAAAGCTTGAAGCCTATGCACAAGACTTTGCTAACAAGAGAAAATCAAGCTGTTCAACAGACTTGAGTTCAAAGATTCCATATGGTATAAACCTAGGTTTAGGTTATGGTTCCTTGAGTAGTTTTCAAACGATTGATAGATGGGTTAGTCAAAAGTCCGATTATAACTACACATCAAATTCTTGTGCCAAAGGTAAAGATTGTTCGGCTTATACACAAGTTGTTTGGCGTAAATCGGTTCGTCTTGGTTGTGGTAGTGTTGCTTGTGGCATTGGATGGCCTTTATTTGTATGTGTTTATGATCCTAAGGGAAACATCCCTGGTGAAAAACCTTATTAATAATAAGTCATTATGTTGTTCTTTATCATATTAGTATGTACTCATGTACTATCTTGCTTTGTTAAATTAAATAAGGATAATTTTCAAATGGTTACAATAAAATTGTGGTCATTATATTACTTCCTCCGTTCTATTAATATTGTAACAAAGAGGAAGTTACGCATCCCTGTGCACATTTTATATGCTAAATATCTATAATTATGTAAGAGTAAAAATTATAAAAAGCTGATATTGTGAAAGTATTTTATGAGACGAATCCAACAAGATCCCACATGACTATATTTTGCTAAACGTATAAATCATATTATATGGTCAAACAAGAGTGATGAATTGTGCAAAGAGTCCATTGTTGCAATATTAACAGAACGGAGGAAGTATTATATTAGATTAAATCTCAACCTTTCATCTACTTTAACTATATTTGGTTTCAAAAATGTTTTGTTCATAACTCAATCAACCCCTGTTGATCCAATTCATCTCATTCAAACTATATTCATTTAAACTTTTTTCACAAATGATAGGATCAACTCGACAAATCGGACACAATTTTTTAAACTTTTTTTTTTTTATCCAAAAAAGAAAAACATTCTTTGATATGATGTTAAAAGAACCACATCAACTAAAAACTTAAGCTTATGGTTGAGGTCCATTAATATGTTTTATTCTCTATCACTTTGTTGCACATAATAAAAAACGGAGGTATCAATTAAGATAGACTAATTGTATTTGTATATCTTTCGAACAAAAAAAAAGGTGTAATTATTGACATTACAACTAAGCAAAAAAAGGTGTGTGTCAATAATTACTCCATGGCCCTTTATATTTGATCTGGTACGTTATTGTAGCATATGAGCCTCTTGAGTCTTAGACTATAATATTACTATATCCGTAAGTCCGTTAATTGTTATGTGCAATTTTGGGGTATTATTTGTGAGATATAAAATATTTCAAACTTGCACATAATATTTAACAGAGGTAGTATAATAATGGATAACTTTTGGCAAGTCATTTGGTTTAGCTTCGTCTCTATTAGTGCCTTGTGCAAATACAACGTTCTTTGAGATAACAGACATAGCTCCAAAGAATAACTCTACAACATACCTAGCTATAATTTTGGTAGTAATAATGGCTTGCGATGGTACAAGGAGCTTGACTTAGATATCAAATTAAACAATTGATAATAATAGATCTAATCATACTTTAATAACACCAATAACAATTATAATCAAGCTCAAATGGCTAAAAAAAAATATAATAAAAATTATATACGGAGTATTAGCTAGTCAAATGATAGAAGGGAATTCCAAAAGATGATGAAATTAAGCAAATCACCTCTTTAATCTGGCCATGTAATTCTTGCACTAGTATCTATTAGCCTTTGGACCTCTAATATCATTGATACAAATTATATTTTGTAAAATAAAATATTTTACAAATGCTCCTAAAACCTGTTAGTGGTTCTTATATACAAATTATATACATGTACTAAGAACATTATTTATTTGTTTTGAATATTATTGTTTATTTACTCATCAAATGAGCAAAATATACTCTTTGGATAATACAAAACTATGAAGTTTTGGGATAGTACAAGCTATAATGTGCGTTATAACATTATTTTTTTTTTTTGGTGTTTAGAGGAGCCACAACGGCAGGGGTGAGAATCGATCCCATGATCTCCTGGAATCGGGAAGGGAGCTCTAACCACTTGAGCTATTTTTCACTCTCAACATTAATTAATTTTGATAGTGAACTTTATTGTTTAACAATCACTCGTTTTAACGATACGGTTTAGTGGTTTATTCAACACTTCTCATGGGTCCAACCCTTTCTTACTCTTGCTAGTAGTTAGTATGGTTGAGTTTTTTTTTTAGGTTATTATTATTTGATAAGTTGATTGATGACACTTATTCAAAGTATTTGTACATGTCTGGTAGAAATTTTATTGGTACAATGTATGTGGGCATTTTCATACTCTCCGGACTCCGTATCCCTTACCTTTTTTATATCTAAAAACTAAAATTACTCGTAATTCAATAATAATAATAATAAAATTGTACAATTTTTTCTGATAGAGTACAAAATTATTAAATCAAATTCAATCAAATAAATCTCAATTGTGGCAAACTAAGATTTTTTTTTATTTTGTCATTAATCTATTTATCTTCTACTATTTTCGAAGTCAAAACAGCTCAATAGTTTTAGTCAATCCTACCAAGAATACTGCAGTGTATTTTTTTTTTTTGGTGCAAAGAATACTGCAGTGTATGAATACCAATAAGATGAATTGATTGTTGCAAACACAATGTCTTGTCTACTTCCCTTCGAGATAACTGGAAGGATTTGTCGAAAATCTCCTCGAAAGACAACTACCTTACCCCCAAACGGTTGCTCTGAAGGCCTTAAAACATCTCTTAAACTTTTGTCTAGTGCTTCAAAACAGAATTTATTTATCATAGGAGCTTCATCCCAAATGATAAGTTTTGTCTTTTTTAAAAGCTCCGCCAAATCACTTCCCGATTTTATATTGCGTGTTGAGTCTTCCGTTACATTCAAAGGTATTTTAAACCTAGAGTGAGCTGTTCTTCCTCGGGGAAGGAGAAGTGATGCGATTCCACTTGAAGCAACAGGGAGCACAATTTCTCCTTTGGATCTTATAGCAGCGCATAGAGTTCTCCAAATGAAAGTTTTACCCGTGCCACCATAGCCATATACGAAGAAAACACCTCCCTCATCTTTTGAAACCGCACTCATGATTTTATTGTACACCTCTTTCTGCTCATCGGTAAGACTTGAACAAAGGGCCTCATGTTCTTGTTGTAATGATGACCTATCATACTGCAACTCATCTTGAATCAACTTATTTCTTCCTTCTGACATTAGCATATCATCTGGAAAAGGTATCCTGGGATATTCGAAGTGTGCTACCATTACTTTGCAAAAAATTTTCTATTTCAGATAAAGTGAAATTCTTTAGCTGATCATCTGTTAACTGCAAATCTATAATATAGTTGAAATTATGTCAATGATTTGCATTAAAGCTTATTGTAAGTATATTATTCTATTAAATGATTAAGTGAACAATCACAAAATTTAGATTAAATAAAGTAAAAAAATTGATTCCATGAGAATTGCATTACAAGTTAGAGAATATATACATTGCACAAGTTATAAGCATACAGTTACAGCTAGTGGAACGACATATGTTTATAGTATACAAAGACCCACCTAATAAATAATTCAAATCTAACAGCTTAAGAAATAACATATCAAGGGAATTAAAATGGTCACCTATATTGGCTATATATTATGAATGAAGTATCAAAAAAAAAAAAAAAAAAAAAAAACAATCAAATCAATTCATATATATAGCTTAATCTTAATTACAAATTAACTATTAAACTTAAATTTGATCTCAAGTATTGACAAACAAATATTTGCTTACCTTGAATTTGTAGACAACGCCTTTGTTTGTGAAGAATATCCTCCGATAGTAAATGCCATGTCGCATTCCACACATGTTCTGGTCTTGATAGACTATCTGACAATAACAACAATGCAAAAAGGCTCCTAAGGTAGGTTTGCAGTTCCCCAAAAACTTGCTTCCGTGATTCCATCAATGTACTCTTTGTCATCATCTAACAACCCTCTTGTATAGCAAGCTTCTTTAAAAGATGAGTATAAAACACCATTGACTGATCTAATATCTTCATAGCATGTCGGACCTCTCACATGGTTCAACAAAATTCTCAAATAGTACTTTTCACCACAACCTGGAGGGACATGATAAATTCTTCCAATAGAAAATGAACGTTGCCTTTCTTCCCACCTGCCTTCTTTCCACACATACTTTGTTGGAAACTCAACATAAGTGAGCTTTCTAGCTCTCGCATCTTTTTTATTACATTCCATCCATGCCAAAAACTAAGATTTCCCAATGGAAGGTTTATTTAATACCGCATCTATTGGATCATCATCTTCGAACACGACATTTTTCTCACCAGGAAGATGAAAACTTAGTCTTTCGACTGAAGGAGTTCTATAATGCATGTCAAATCCGAAAATTCTCCACACTGCTTCACAGGGTGAAATATACCTTCAAACAATAAATTAAATTAAAATAAAATTAAAAATAGATAATGGAATTCCTTCAGAAGATGAAATTGAACAAAACATTTTCAAACTCTTAGTTCCATATAAATCATGTCATTCTTTTATTCTTGATACCATCTAAATATAATATCCAAAATCTTAACATTTTTATATGGTTACAACCATTTCAATATTCCTTTGAAGTTCAAGAGGAATAAGTCCACATTAAAACATATACGACATATTATATACATCAACATATAAAAGAATATCCATCACCCACTACTACCTCCAAATTAGTTTACTGCAAATTTTAGAAAATAATGATAATTTTTTTTTAAAAAAATGCAATAAATTAATTTTCATGAGTATTGATATATTTTACTACATATTTTTACTTTATTTAATCTAAATTTTCTTTTGCACTCTCTCGCAAAACCACATGAAACAATAAATTGACGAACAAATTAAAAGATATATTCAAACAGAGAAAAAGAGATGACTTACAAGCATTAACTTCGAAGGGAAATATCTTTTGCTCCTTTAGATCACTTATTAAGCGATCTAGCTTCATTTTAAAAACTCTACAAAGGATATCTGGTCTATCCTCTGGCCTCAAACCTCTCTTTTCAACGAACCTTGTGATTTCTGGCCATTTTGGATTACAAGTAAATGTAATAAATAAATCCAGATATCCATATCACTTGCAAAGGGCCATTGCATCTTGATAATTCTCCATCTTATATCTTGGTCCAGCCGTAAATGATGAAGGTAAAACTACTCTCTTTCCGGTGGAAGATGGCTCTGTGTCTCCTCTCATTACGACATTAGCAAGATTCTTGTATAATTCTGATCTTAGCTGTTTTTGGTGTGTTCGGATGTAAGAAAGTCTCTCTGCCTCGATCATTGTATAAGCATCAACCAAAAATTGTTGGAATAATTTTTTTGACAACAATAGTGTCGCGGCTTCATTGAGTCTGTCGATAATCCTAAATGCAAAAAACTCTCTCATACTTAGCCTAGACCTTTTCCTCGTAGCTCCAATGTCCCTTAATGGAATATCAACCCTATAACCATCCTCACCATATGGAAATAATAATGGATATTGTAAAGCCGAGGTAAGAAGGGTGTAACTCGTTGATGCGTTGAAGTGCACCAGATTGTTTCTCCACAATAATATCTCTATCTGTAGAACTTCCTACATCACCAACAATAAGTGCTGCCACTTCGGATGCACTTGGGAGGTTGTATGTCCGCCCATCTGTTCCCCTACTTCCGATAAGCTTTAGCTTAACATCTTGAGAAGCATTAGAAATAAAACGATCCCTTGCCATCCTAAAAGCTTGAGCAAGAGGGTTGTGTAGATCAAGCATAGTTTTGAGATCATTAATAATCCCATCAGCAAAATCATCAGAATTTCTTAAATAGTTTTGCAAAAAAAAAAATTCCCAAAAAAAAAAAAATGTTAGTATTATATTTGTAATAATAATATCCTTCAATTGAATGAATAATATTTCATGTATGAAAGATAAATGTTACACACCTCATATTAAACTTTCTGTTGGAAATCTCATTTTCAGTGTCATAGATGTACAATTGAGCAAATTTCGGAGATGATCCGGAAGTCGGTAACAAACTTCCTATCTTGTGATAATTTTGACCATGCAATCTAAGGTATAAGGCCCTCTACCATGATTAATTGTTGAATCGATCCTTCCTCCCATTGAGGTAAATGAGTGCATACTGTTATAAGGTCTTATGTTTTCTAGAAAATGGTTACTTCTAGGATCCTCCTTCTTTAAAAGACCATTAAGGGGTGGTGGTGGTTCTTTTAGTAAAGGTAACTGCACTTTTCCTTGCATACAACATAATGAAAACTTTGGATCTTTTGATGAGCCACGTTTCTTCTCTAATCGCTTCTCGTACCATAACATGGCTCCACAAAATTTACAAATACAAGTCGGATCTCCAATGTCCCAATACTCTAAGTAAACATTAAAAAAAATATTGTTAGTTGAGACTTTTTTTTTTGTTTTTTTTTTTGCTAAATAGTTAAAATATTAATACGTTTTGTTGTAGATTAAATTAATTATCAATAGTTCATCAAAAGTACCTTAAAATTAAATAGATATATAACTTAAATTTAATCTCAATACTTATATTTGTAATATACCTTGATCTCCTTGAGTATATAATTTTTATAAGTGTTATTGATAGAAATTGAGTTATGGCTCATGTAACACGTCTTCATTTGCACAATCTAAACCTTCAAGCTATACTATACTTTATAAACTATAATATTATAGAATGAATTTGATTACTTACCAGTACTTGAAGTAGTAGCACAATTTGACATAGTACTTGTGACAGATTTTGTGATAGACCTTGTCTTATCTTGAGCCACACCATCACTTTGAATTCGGTTGTCAGCATGATTCGCTTCATGAAACAATACAAATAGTGATGATTAGCATAGATTAGTCGCTAAAATATCTTTTACTGTATCGTTGAAAATCACCTTGAGTGTTGCAAAAAAAATTAAAAGTTACTATTCCATACAATTGAATAAATCTAATTACTTACCCAAACTTGAAGTAGAAGCAAATGTTGTAATTCTGATGGATTTAGAGTTAGACCTTTTCTTTGCTTGAGTACCGTCACATTGGATGAAAACATCATTTCTTTGAATTAAGTTGTGAATATGATTTGCTTCATGAAAAATACAATACGTGAGGATTAGCATATATTATCAACAAATTATTTCACATATAAATTTTAGCTCATACACTATTGCACATTCAACACAAAATGTAGCTAAATTCATACTACGTACATTACATACTCTCAAGATTAGGATATTATGCATAGGAAGTCTCCACTTATACTATATTGATTATGAATTATTAATTGATGAATTAAAAGTAAAGTATGTAAAATATAAAATGTTGATCAAAATATGATGGACCTGACCATTTGAAATGTCACCCAAAGGGATTCTCTGACCACTATTGAATGATTGCTCTCTTTGTAGCCTTATTTTTGTTGCTTGGTCTGTAGAACCTAAATCAATAAATTAAATGTTAGCTTTGATCATATATATGTACTTGTAAATAGTGTTCTTATTTCATTTTGAGTACGTAAGAGATGTATGGGTATTGAAAAAGTACCAGAGTAATCAATTTCTTTTCTTTGACGCTTCCTTGTTAGAATAGCCTTCCTCCTTAGTCTTGCAAATTTCGCAAAATTTGGATCCATAGAAAAATCTTTTATAAAATGCAAAACAGATTAATTAAGTGTTTCAATTAAGATTCATGCATGAATTAAAGTTTACTCTCAATAATCGAGTTATAATGAATTAGTCCACTTCTCTTATGTAGATATTTTATTTTATTTTTTAATTTTTTATTTAATTTTTACGAGCACTTCTCTTATATAGTTATGTGGAGTATTATTCAATTATTAAAATAACATTATAAAAGATTAAAAGAAATTCAAATAACATAAAATACTATTCAAATAACGTTCCTTAAATTTTTTTTTATTGACCATCAGTAACCAATTCCTTTATTAGTAATTGAATTACCTTTGTTTTTATTTTTCCTACGAGTTTAATAATTTGATTTATAAACCGTGCATCGCACGGGCACTATGCTAGTTTTCTGCTATTTTCGAAGTCAAAACAGCTCAATAGTTTTAGTCAATCCTACCAAGAATACTGCAGTGTTTTTTTTTTTTTTTTTTTTTTTTTTTTTGGTGCAAAGAATACTGCAGTGTATGAATACCAATGACTGATCACTATTAGCATAGAAAATATTGATTGAGATAATTCACCTTATAATTTAGTTATTAAGTTCCTTATATAAAAGATCTTGTGAGACAACCTACCAAAAAAATTACATCAATCAAATTGTAATTTGGCCTATAAAATGATTTTATCCTATATTGTTACAAAATAGAAGAAAAGAAAGAATGAAAGATAAAGATGTGCGAATATTGATTGCCTCTTCCATTTCCTGTACAATTACATACGTGATACATATATACATTATTTGAATTATAACTTCCTAATGACAATAAGAAGCCACATTATGAAAAGAGTTACAAAGAGATGTAATAAGGTTAAGGGAGTTAAAAGGGGGTTTATTTATAAAAGGAAATAATAAAGCTAAATAGGTTACAAATATAATAATGGACATACATTAATATAGTATAATTTATAATATATATATATATATATTTGTAATACATCCATCATTCATATGCTCCTCTAGCAATTACATCTGGTTCCAATCAAATTCCCCTCAAAAAAAAAAAAAAAAAAAAAAATGAGGTCACTCCTATTTTCAATTGCCTTTATTTTCACCATAACATTCTTATTCAAACATTGTTCATCCCAAATCCTACCTGATGACAATAAAACCTTCCTAGATGGCCATAACGCTGCTCGTCGCGATGTCGGGGTGGATCCATTTACATGGGACAAAAAGCTTGAAGCCTATGCTAAAGACTTTGCTAACAAGAAGAAACCTAGTTGTTCAACAGACTTGGGTTCAAAGATACCATATGGTATAAACCTTGGTTTAGGTTATGGTTACTTGACTAGTGGTCAAACGTTTAATACATGGGTTGGTCAAAAGTCCGATTATAACTACACATCAAATTCTTGTGCCAAAGGTAAAGATTGTTCGGCTTATACACAGATTGTTTGGCGTAAATCGGTTCGTCTCGGGTGTGCTAGTGTTAATTGTGGTTTATGGCCTTTATTTGTATGTGTTTATGATCCTAAGGGAAACATTCCAGGAGAAAAACCTTATTAATAATCAATCATTATGTAGTTCTATATCATATTATCATGTACTTCTTGCTTTGTTCAATCAATTAAAGTGCTTTTTGATGAGTTCTTTAATTTGATTGATAACAAAGATGATAATAAGAGGTGTAATATATATATAAATAAAATGAACTTATAATTAGTTATCTTGTTTCTGTTTATTTGTCTCGGTTATCTATTTGTACAATTTCATTCTAATTTTTCGTTGTAAATTTGGGTTCAATTCTTTTGTTTCATTGTTACGTTCCATGTTGCAGTGAATATATTGGTCCAATTCATCACAATCAATGATTCAAAGTTTCAAACTACTTTTTTTTTAGGAAATGATTCAAACTATTTTCATTTCAGCTTATTTTCAGAAATGAAAGATATGATATGATCAAATTTATTTACTTGTATTTTTTAATTCCATTTTTAATAAAATATGAAATTTTCTAATTTGGGAAATAATACACATTAATACAAATCAAATGACATTCAATTCATATGATATTATTTATCAATGGATATACAACATAATGCATAAACAAAGTCAAATTTTAGTCAAATATGGAGATTATATCATATCAGAAAGATATAAATTCATATCAAATCAGGTGAAGTAAACATATACAAGAAGCCTAACAAAACAAGTCAAATTATTTCTTAGGTTTAATTTAGATGAAACGTTTGAGTGCATATATTCAACTATTAACATATTCAAATATCAATATGTAAACATTATTTTTAAAAAGGGGAAAATTACTATTAATATTACAACCTTTGAGCGCTTAAACGAGTACAACTTTTTTATTATTCGTGAGTATTACAACAACGTTTGGGGTGTCAATCTATCTATATCTATATCTATCTATAAATATAACTAAAGTAATAAATATAACTAAAGTAATTACCGCTGATATCATTATTTTTCACATGTCAACCTCTTATACAAAATTTCCTGACAAAACTAATAATGACATCATTATTTTTTTTCAACATAAATAAAAATTTGAAAATGATAAATTAATTATACATATCTCTAGCATATTTTATATTTAAATTGAATAATTATGCAATTTCGATTGGAAAAATTAAATGAACGTCAGACTATTTCATTTTCTTATAAACATTACCTTTTTCTCCTACTCCGTATATTTTATACAGATTATATGAATTAAGGCTTCCACTCTATATTAATTTCTCAATTTATTAGATATTGATTTAAATATTTGTACTGTGTACATATTGATGATCATGATAGCACTACTACATTTCTGATCTATTGCAACCCCCAAATCCGTTGCATTAGGCGTCAAAATCCGTGGCATTAGGCCTAATGCAACGGCCATGTACCGTGGCATCTGCTGGCGTTGCAATAGGTCTAATACAACGACATATAACACCTAATGCCACGACACCAATGATCCGTGGCAATAGACCAATACCTGTTGCAACGGCATAACTTATCCGTGGCAATAGAGTACTGACTAATAATTATGATGAAATTGAACCTATTGCAACGGATGAAGCTAATTAATACAATGATAGGAGTACGTATCTACTGCAACGGATTGATATTTTTTTTTTGTTTTTTGTTGGGATGGGATGGTAATATAATATATGTATAATTAGTCAGTACAAATTAAAATATTCTAACAGAAACAAATTAAAGTATCATTTATATATAATAATTATAATGCGAAATACGTACATTATTGCCCTTAAAGGGAAAAGTTACAAAATCAAATTTCACTAATTAAATTAATTGAGAAAACTACATCGACTACAATTTTTGAGAGGCAAGCGACCAACATTAGCAGGTGAACAGCAGCAGTAGAGACCAGCAACACAGCAAGCTGTCCCAACATCAACAAGCTCAGCAGAACGACAGCAGCAGCCAAAACCAGGCATGCACAACACCATGCAGAAAGCAGTACAGTAGCTGACAGTGCAGAACAACAGCAGTAAAAGGAACAACAGCAACATTAACCAGCCAAAACCAGAACAAGACAGCAACGGAAACTAGGCAACAAACTAGAAGCAAACAGGGAAAAGCAAGTCCAAACCAGGATGCCTTCTTCAACCCTACAACAGCTCAAAACAGCAGAGACAGGCAGAAAAAACAACAACAACCAGGCAGCCCAATAGAACCTACACGACAGCAGCCTGCACCTAACAGCCCCACAGGCAACCAAACAGAGACCAGCAAGCAACTAGCAACACAGAACAACAGAAGCCAGCAGGCCTACAACCTGCATATATCAAAGAAACCTAAAAACCTTATAAAAACACAATCCAATTTCATCAAAATCAAAAAAGAAGATAAACATCCATCATTCCTCTTTTCTCATATATAATTCAATGAGAAATAAAAAGAAGTAAAAAAATACCCGGAGGATGTAGTGGCTACAACAAACAATAAAGTCAAGATCAATAATAAAGGATAATTATTCACATGTTGCTACAGGTTAAAGTTAAAGCCGAAGAAGAATAGCAGCAGCAGCTGCCTAAAACGCATAAAGAGCAACGGTTTTTAAATTTAGTTTGGAATCAAGAGTAAAAACTAAGCAAGAACTCACAAGGGGTTATAGATATACATATATAGAACAAACCTGCAATGCAATAAAAAAAAACAGTATTCATTCAAATTTGCAGTGTTACCGGTGAATATATGTCAATGACAGCATCTATATCTTATTAAATTTCTTTCGGGGTACTTACAAATGAATAAGCAAGTGTCATATTTTCATGGAGTAGCTGAGGTGGAATTTTAAAAATAATATATAAAAATAATTAATTCATATATAGACATGTCTCTAAGGAGTAACTGATTTTCATTCTGTCAGACCTTTACTGGTAACTGATTTTCTGTCTCTATTTCGTATCCACATAATCACTACGCTTAAATGAGGCACATCCTATAACACCAAACAACATATAATACGGTATCTCTAATTCGCACTGTATAATGAGAGGTACTTATTAGAGGTAGGCATGGGCCGGGCTGGCATGAAAGTCAATCAAGTATGATAGTAAAATGGACTAACATAGTATGAGTCCGCCATAAGCCTTACCACAGTCACCACAGTTCGGAGGGTATGGATATTATTTTTAAAAGTTGACATGAACATGGCACAAACATGGTATGTCAACCTCCTTTAATAATCTTATTTACCAAACAGTATATAAAAATTACTAAAAGGATCTACTGACATAACACCCCCAAACGAATATTTCTTAACTTGTTTCAAGCACGGCCTACTTGAACACGAGGCATGCTAGCACATTGGCCTATCTCATATCCAACATTAGAAGTTGTATACTAGCAGTTCCTCAAACCTTGTATAGAATCTTGTATAACTCACTAATTTGCTCTTTTTTGTGATTCTCTTGCACTGAACAAAAACTCTTGCCAAAATGAAGCACGACCCAATACAACAAATACGTCCACCATCTGTGTAACATTCATAATTCCATACAAAAAAAATCTGAACATCTAATCATAATAATTCACAAATTATAAACCCCAAACAAGGGGAAGGAAAGAGAAAAAAATGAACTAAGACCATAGTATACAAGACCTAGAAACCAAATCTCCCAAAGAAAAAAAATTAGAAATCAGAAACTGAGGGAAACCTGAAAGCTAGAAGAAACAGTTCAAAGGTCAAAGATCCAACAAGTTTGAATTTTTTTTTATAAAGGGCTGAGATGCAGAACACCCCCTCAATTTCACTTTCTTAGGAGCCTTTATTTGATGCACCATCAACTCCCATCCACCATATATTGCCTCTGCAGTTGAATAAATGAATTATGCAAACTCTGCAGTTGTGAATTACGGCAGCATAAATCATGAATATAATTATCATTCTCAAATTTCCATTAATATGACAATAACTTGAACCAACAGTAAACTCAAATTCATATAGACAGCAGTTATAATTACTGTGATTAAAACAGATAAAAAAAATCTGATTTGAGACGAGACAAGTGCCAAGTGATGAGTGTACAAACTAACATATATACACTTGTATTTCTGCTAAGAATTGCAACACGTCACAATGGCCATTATCAGAAAGTGCAAGAAGACAATAAAAATCATAGAACCATACAGAAATAACAATCAGCCCATGTAAGCTATTTCTAGTTCAAAGAAAATATTGTGATTGGAGACATTAGTAGCAATTGTCCCAACATGTAAGAAGATGATAATACAAGAAGCCTCTGGAAAAAGGACAGAAGTTTAATAAGCACCAGTTACTAGACATTATAACACCAACTATAGTAATCTATTGTCATTACCTATACCATAACATTTGCATTACCATAACCAACAAAACAACCAAAAGCACACTTATTTGCAAGTTAAAAATCAACCAATTTTCCAATAATCAAACCAAATCAGAAATGAAAGATAAAAGAAGGAACCTGACAAGAACATAAAGGCGAGAATCCCAAACGAAAGAAATTAACCTGACAGTTCTCGAGGAATTAAATGTTTTACAAACGAAAGAAAGAGAGGTAGAAATGCAATAGAAATAGCGATTATACCTGACTCCGTTGTTGAGCTACCAAGCGACCAAGAACACCAGGTCCAACAATTAGCAAATCACTCTCACCAACTACCACGGACGATGATGATGTTCCTGATTAACATTAAATAGTCAATTGATTGAAACTTTTTAAGTGTATAATGTCGAAATTGGAACAATAATTGAAAGGGGAGAGAAAGTAGCGAGAAAGAGGAAAAAAGAGAGATAAAGATAGAAGGCTTACTCAAAGATCAGGGCACGAAGCTGGAGTTTGAGCGACATTAGCTCAGCAACTCTCCACCACCGCCATCAATTACAAATCAAAACTCACCATCGTTGCTCTCCACCACCGCCAACAGTTACAAATCGAAACCCTAGAAATCGAAAAAAATCAAATTTTTGAATGAATTTTTTCGTGATTTTCACCTCAAAATCGGCCTCAGAATTTTTGTTTTACAATGATTATTTATGTGAGATGATGATGGGGAAACTAGAGAATTGGGGGAAATTGAGAAAATGGAGAATTGGGGGAAATTGAGGAAATGGAGAAATAGGGTAAGAATGGGTACTGTGAGAATGAGTGGAGAAAATGGGTGAGAAAAGTAAAAACGTGTTTGTTCAAAATTTTGGTGAAAAAATTAGAGGGAACAATGCGCGCTTCAACCTAGCTAAAATTTTCATGATACAACACTACTGTTGCATTAGCTTTCATTTTTGTTAAAATATCTAGGCTATTGCAACGGTTCTTTAGAGCCGTGGCAATAGCTCTACCTCTAAGAGCATTAGTTTTATATCCGTGGCAATAGCCTACTCTATTGCAACGGCAATAAAAATACCGTTGCAATAGGCTATCTATTGCCACGACATTTGGATAAGGCGTTGCAATAGCTCATTTTTTGGCGTTGTATTTGATCGAAAATGTAGTAGTGTAATGATCATACTATCAAGGCTCCAGATTCTGTTCTTACAGAGCACAACAAGGTTGATCTAGCTCGAGATGACACAACAGCTTTTCCTCATAAGCTGGAGCAGGACAGAAGTTTGAATTCTTGATGATGAGCTGTATGGCTAGCTGGAAGAAGTCTAGAAACTACTATTTTCTGTTATAAGTTTGTTAGAGTTTGTTACAAGATATTTTGTTATGTAATAATTCTGTTAGAGCTCTTGCATATATAAGCAACAATGCTGTAATATTCTGATTCATTCAGAAATATTCCTCAATTAATAAAACAAACTCTTACTTTCTCTCTCTAGAAATTGTTCTAAACTCTCAATTTTTGAATCTTATCATGGTATCAGAGCAGAAGATCTGCTAATTTTCTGCAAATTTTTCATAAAATGCAGTAATTCTGATACTCATTTTAGTATCAGTTCATATATTCTTTGTGTTTTTCTGATTCGATTTTTGAATTCAAAAACAATTTTTCATATAATTTTCTGTTGAAATAAATTCTTCAAGTATTAAACCTTGATTACAATGGAAGCACAAAGTGTTAATCCAACACAAGATCTTGGATCAGTTTATTACATTCATCCAAGTGAAAATCCAGCAATTTCACTTGTTTCTGAGAAATTTAATGGTGAGAATTATCAAGATTGGAAGAGAGGTATGATTTTGGCACTGTTAATGAAGAATAAGATGTCCTTCATAGATGGAAGCTTGCAGAATCCAGGAGAAGCATATCCAATGTATAATGCTTGGAGCAGGTGCAATAATATGATAATATCATACATACTGAGATCTTTGGATAATACTCTTGCTAAGAGTGTTATTTTCTTCTCAACTACATATGAGATCTGGAAGGATCTTGAAGACAAGTATTCTGTAATTTCTGGACCTAAGATTTATTCATTGCAACAAACTTTGAATCAGTTAGAACAAGGTTCTTTCTCAATAGCTGAGTTTTTTACAAAGATCAAAGGAATTTGGGATCAGATTAGTGTTGCAAATCCGATTCCTGTCTGTAATTGTTCAAGGTGTACCTGTAATTTGACACAAAAATTTCTGAAATCTTAGCAAGATGAAAGACTGATTCAGTTTCTCATGAAGCTTGATCCTAAACATGCTGGAGTTAGGACAAATATTTTGATGATGAATCCTTTGCCTTCTATGTCTGTTGCATATAATCTGCTTATTCAAGATGAAAGGCAGATGCAGATTACTGATGCAGTTACCAGGCAGCCTAGTAGCATGGCATTTGCAGCTGCAGAGGAGAGGAGAATTTATAGTAAGCATTATCCCACAGCTGCTCGAGCACCTCTATTTTTTGATCATTGCAAGTTGAACAATCACACCATAGACAAGTGCTGGAAATTACATGGCTATCCTGCAAAGGGAGGTTTCACCAAGAACAAAGGGAAGAGAGTTGCAGTTGTATCCTGTGGAGAAGGTCAGAGTGAAGAAGAATGCACCAATTACCAAAGAACAGTATGAGAAGCTTGTTAGCCTTATTCAACAAGATAAACAGCAGGATAGTTCTTAGAAGTTCAATGGAATGGCCAATATGGCAGGTAATTGCCTAATAACTTGTCTGAATTCTAAGTGGATAATAGACAGTGGAGCAACTGATCATATATGCTCAAATTCGAGTTTATTTGATTCATATGATTTGTTTGATAAATTTCCAAGTACAATTACTGTGGCAAATGGAAAGTTAGTAGAAGTTAAGCATATAGGTACTGTGAAGTTTGATAATGGTATAGTGCTTAACAATGTGATGCATGTTCCTGATCTGCATTTCAATTTGATATCCACACATAGGATCTGTAGAGATATGTGCTGTGATATTGTCTTTACACATGATAAGTGTTTGATTCAAGATCATTCCCATAACACTTCTCTGGTTCTTGGTAATTTGGACTCAGGTTTGTATTCTGTATCAGATGATGATTTGAAGAAGACAGTGATTAAACCCTCAATAAATTTGGCTGTAGGAGATGAAGCTAAGCTACTGCATTTGAGATTAGGTCATTTTCCTTTCAATAAAATGAGTCATATAGATTCTAAGTTTCAAATAAAGCTTGTAATGACAGCATATGTCAAATTTGTCCAAAAGTTAGACAAGTTAGGAAGTCTTTTCCAAAAGATAGTGCTAAGAGTGTCAACTGTTTTGATTTGTTACATGTAGACACTTAGGGGCCTTACAAAATAAGAACTCATGATGCATGTTGTTATTTCTTGACTGTTGTAGATGATATGTCAAGACATACTTGGACATTTTTAATGAAACAAAAGTCTGATTGTGTTGATATTTTAGAGTTCTTGATTACTTTTATTCTCACTCAATTTGGTATATATGTCAAGAGTTTGAGGACTGATCATGTAAAGGACTTGTGTGAGGGTAGAATACTCACAGTATATGAGAAGTTTAGGGTTTTTCATCAGAGGAGTTGTGTAGATACTCCACAGCAAAATGGAGTTGTGGAGAGAAAACATAGGCATCTTTTGGAGACAGCAAGGGCTTTGTTTTTTCAGTCTAAGGTTCTTACAAAATATTGGGGAGAATGTTTATTAACTGCAACACATTTGATAAACAGGATGACATTGTCCTGTTTGGCTATGTTACACCATATGAGAAAGTTTATGAGGTTGCAGCTAGCATTGAGCATCTTAAAGTGTTTGGTTGTTTGTGTTATATATGCTGCTACTCTAAAAAATGGCAGAACAAAATTTGATTCCAGGGCAACACCCTGTGTAATGCTTGGATATCCAACTGGATAAAAAGCTTATAAGCTCCTAAATTTAGAAACAAACATAGTGTTTGTTTCTAGAGATATCACTTTTCATGAGAGACACTTTCCTTTTCATTTATCAGACAATACACCCAAACTTGATCCAATTTTTTTCCCAGCAGAAACAACATACACTTTTACTTTTGATCCTGATATACCTGACATTTTTGTCCTGTTCCCTGAGCAAATTACTACTGACCCTACACCAGAACCACAAAATAACCCAAGCACACAAATATTACCTCACCCTATCTCAAGTAACCCTCCATTTACAACCCAATCACCACCCCGACCTGATAGACAATCAACCAGACCCACAAAGAAACCAGCCTGGATGATTGATTATGTGTGTGCAGTTGATTCTGCAACCTCTCATTAGTGTAATCTTGTTTCTTATGATGAGTTTCCTGTTCCATTAAAGGCTTTCATTACTCAGATCTCAAGTGTAACAGAACCAGCTACTTACTTTGAAGCAGCACAACACCTAGAATGGATAGATGCTATGAATAAAGAACTTAAAGCTTTGGCAGCCAAAAACACCTGGGTTGTTACAGATTTGCCTAAGGGTAAGAAAGCTATAGGGTGTAAATGGGTGTACAAGGTGAAACTAAAGAAAGATGGAACACTTGAAAGGTATAAAGCAAGACTTGTTGTTAAAGGATTTACACATAAATATCGAATATATTATGATGAAACCTTCTCTCCTGTTGTTAACATGGCAACAATAAGGTGTTTGCTGGCCATTGCAGCTGGTTATAATTGGCCTTTGTTCCAGATAGACATTAACAATGCTTTTTTGCATGGCACACTTGATGAAGAAGTTTACATGAAGATGCCTCAGGGTATACCCAATCCAGAGAATAAGGTGTGCAAGCTTGTTAAATCTTTATATGGGTTGAAACAAGCAAGCAGACGGTGGTTTGCTAGGTTGACCTCAGAATTAAAGAAGAAAGGTTTTATTCAGAATAAGAATGATTATTCTCTATTCATTCTTTAAAAAAAACAATGACATTTGCATTGCAGTAGTATATGTTGATGATATTATTCTCACTGGTTCAAATTCTGAGATTTTGGTAGACTTAAAGGTTCATCTGCATCAAGTGTTCAGCATCAAAGACTTAGGGGAGCTGAGCTATTTTCTTGGAATTGAGGTTTCAAGACTGCCTAGAGGTATCATTCTGAAATTTACCTGAGGAGTTACTTGAAGGTTGTGGTTTAGATGTTTCAAAATCAGCTAAGACACCTTTGCCTATTAGCCTAAAATTCACAGGAGAACTTTATAGTGATCCAGAACTCTACAGATGCCTGGTAGGAAAGTTGATTTTTCTTACTCATACAAGGCCTGATATCTCTTTTGCAGTACAAACTCTAAATCAGTTTATGCATAGTCCCAGAGTACAGCATGTAAAAGCTCTACAACACCTTTTAAGGTACATAGCTGGTACTATAGGACAAGGTTTATTCTTGGAAGCCTCTACACAGTTAACTTTACATGCCTACTCATATTCAGACTGGGCAACCTGCATTGATAGTAGAAGGTTTGTGACTGGTTACTTAATGATGCTTGGCAAGAGTTTGGTCTCTTGGAAATCTAAAAAGCAATCTACTGTATCAAAGTCATCAACTGAGGCAGAATATTGAGCAATGGCTGCAGCTTCATCAGAGATTGAGTGGCTTGTCAGGTTGCTGCAAGATCTTGGTGTTACAAATTTGAAACCAATCAAGATGAATTGTGACAATCAGTCAGCAATTCACTTGGGAAAAAATCCAATTTATGCATGAAAGGACTAAGCATATTGAGATTGATGTCCATTTCACTAGAGATAAAGTTTTGGAAGGTCTCATTGAGTTGTCTTATGTCCTTACTGATGCTCAGTTAGCTGATATATTGACAAAAATTCTGCTGCTCCTTAATTGACTAAGTTACTCTCCAAGCTTGGTCTGTCTGAGTCATCCACACCCAGCTTGAGGGGGGTATATTGATGATCATGATAATGATCATACTATCAAGGCTCCAGATTCTGTTCTTATAGAGAACAACAAGGTTGATCTAGCTCGAGATGACACAACAACTTTTCCTCATAAGCTAGAGCAGGACAGAAGATTGAATTCTTGATGATGAGCTGTATGGCTAGCTGGAAGAAGTCTAAAAGCTACTATTTTCTGTTATAAGTTTGTTACAGTTTTCTACAAGATATTTTGTATAGATATTTTGTTATGTAATAATTCTGTTAGAGCTCTTGCATATATAAGCAACAATGCTGTAATATTCTGATTCATTCAGAAATATTCCTCAATCAATAAAACAAACTCTTACTTTCTCTCTCTAGAAATTGTTCTAAACTCTCAATTTCTGAATCTTATCAATACATATTACACACAAACAAGCTAAATTAAATAATATTTTTGAAATCATAAAATAATATTTAAATTGTGCATCGCACGAGCTTACTCTAGTACTCTATTAAAAGACAAGCGCCTCAATGTGAGACTGACAAATGTCACTCCTTCTTTTGCTTATCTTGTTTATATAAATATTTCTAGCATAATTATTATTGTTAAACTTCAAACTTTAATCTATCAATAAAAAGGAAGTTCTGTACATGCATAAGATATTCATGATTTCCTAACTAAATTTTGTATTTATTTTTAGCAATAAATTATACTATGTGTATTGTAGTTATTAAATGTTATCTGTAATTTTTATAGTGTAACTATGTAGATTTACTTACTCTAATACTACAAATAACTCATAATATATTTGCAACATTTACTTCATCTATGATTACAAAAGTCATCAAGTTACAGAATAAATAATTTGAATAAATATAATTTAAGTGGTATAAGGAAACAAGATAATTTGTATATTGAAAGCCTAATATTGTTTTTTCTACTGAAACGTAAACAAAATTATTGGTAGACTTTAGTTTGAGATCAATTATGGAGTCAATAAAGGTACAATGCAAAATAGTGTTATAATTAATTTTATCGGTTGTTGTACTCCTTGACAAATATTGAATATTAAGTTGAAATGTTGCTTTAAAAAAATTAGAAACTTGAATATAAATTTAACTTTAATTGTCCTTTCAATTTCTGTACAATGTCTCTTGCAATGACATTTTCCCGTTTTTTTACATAAGAAATTTGAAGCAAAAATCAGTCTAAACGAGAAGAATACAAGTTAAATTAAACATTTGATAGGAAAATATATATAGGAGTAAAATGTTTTACAACAACTACTCGTATTTAACACGGTAATATTCATATATTGACAATGCTTTTACTTTTAAGAATTTTGAGAAAAATATTATTTTGATTCAAAATAAAATTGTGCATTTCACGGGTGCAATACTAAATATATAGCCGTTATTGTCAATAATTTTATATTGTTCTACATATAGTAATGTTGTTAATTAGAATATCCTAATTTACACCAATCAATTAATGCATTATACTATATGACAAACAAATCAATCACTGATTCGTTTATCTTATATTTGTAATGAGATAACAAAGACTTGATATATTGTGTTGCATATTTTTGGTTAGTTTTTGTTATATAAATTATCTTGAATTCAAAATATATTTTATTGACTTTAATTGATTCCAAATAATTTATTACAAAAAGTCGATCAATATGTTCCTAGCCAAAAATATGCCAAAAATTTATATATAGTGTGTGAGATATAAGGTTATTATTGTGTCTATAGATTTGGTAACTGCGACGGGTAAAACAAATTTAGATTATAATGTAGCTATTGAAACAGATGATATGACAAGAAAATATTTAGTTTTTACTGACCGGGGATAAAAAATGAATATGTCTATTTCTCTTATATATTTTTTTTTGATGCTCTGTTTATTTTCTCTTATATAGTTATGTGGAGCATTATTCATTTAAATTTCAATAAATAAAACAACATTATTAAAAAAAATAGCGAATAAAATGTTAAAACAAATGCCAATGACATAAAATATTATTCAAATCACATTCCGTAATTTCTGTATTGGCCATTACTGCGGCTAAACAAAATTTTAATAATTAAATTGTTAGTGAAAACGAGTCCTTTATTACTGATTGAATTGTTTTTATTTTTTTCATGTGGGATTAATAATATGATTTATAATTCGTGCATCGCACGGGCACTATATGCTAGTTTTAAATAAGTCAAAACCAAAAGTAACCTGATAAACAAGTTAACAATGCCATGTGTCGCTCTATTATTGGCTTAAATATTTTTTAATTTTTTTTTATCTTTTTTCTTTCCTCCCCTCTCCCCGTCTTCATCCCCACCACCACTGCACCACTTTGATAGCCCCCTCTCCTAAATCTGGCCTTCTCGCCCACCCTCACAATCAACCAACCCATAATTCTTGCCCTACCCAATTACAAGCCCGAAACTCCCACCCACCCACCCTTCGCCAGTCTCGAATCCCTAGCTACACCCCTTCATCCACCTCGAATACGTCGCCCTGTCTTTACCACTAGCCTTTGAAACCCCACCCATCCATGAGCCATGAAACTCCATCGAAACAGGGTAAGTTTTTATACCTTGCATTTACTAGTGTACCCCCACTTGCTTTATCATTTTCTCTCCTTTCCTTAATATGTATTCTTAAATTGAATGCGTCAACTAAATAGCAACGGGGGAAGTATTTATATTAGAGTTACTCTTATGGGAAAAACAAAGTTTCCATATGAAATGAAATGGATTACCGAGTAGAACTTTTTTTGTACTTGCGAAATGAACTCTCTATCTTGATGACATGGGTGGCCTAAGTGGCTAAGCCCATATATAAAGAACACCAATTATAAATCATCAATAACTTTATGCTAAAAGACACACCAACAATGACACGTGTTATATCTTACTGTGTGTGTGTATATATATATATATATTATTTTCTTTTTGTTTTTTTTAGAAAATCTTTTTTTTAAAAGTAATTTAAAGTTTTAATGTGGTAAAAGCAGTTGACTTAACTGTAAATAACCTTAATTATAGAAAATTATTTTTTACCTAATTAAATTTTTTTTTAGAAAGAATAAAAAAAATCAAATCATTAGGAAAAATATTATATACTCTCTCCGTTCCATAATACTTGACATACTTTCCATCTTTGGTCATTCCACAATACTTAATACATTACCAATTTTGAAAAGAGGTCACTATTATAAAATTATATTTCTTTACATGCTCTATGGGCCCACTGCTTTTTAGGAAATAATAAAAAAAATTTAATCCCCCTCCCCCCTTCTTAACAGCTAGCCCCGCTTAGTTTTTTTAGCAATTAAGTATTATAAAATAAAATCTTTTCTACGATAAACAAATATATTAAAAGGACCCACTTACATTTTTTTAAACTACGTGCTCCCTCCAACGTCCCACGTATTATGGGACAGAGGAGTAGAATACACTACAAGTCTACAATCCATAATAATAATAAAATAATATATTTATTATTTTTTCCAAGCAAATTACTTTAATAATCAATAACCACGTGAAAAATATTAATCAATCAACAATCATCAATCAATAATTATATAATTTATTGATTGGTAACAATAAATTATTATATAAAAATATAATTTAAAACATATTGAGATTTAATTAGAGTGCATATATAATAGGAGAAAAGTTGAATAAGAAAATTAAACGTTGTTGAAAAGATATGGAAATTTGGGTTGCATGATCTGATTTTGGATTAAATAATAGAGTGATTTTAATAGTGTGTGAATAAGAATTTATTCACGGGATTAGATACGTAGCTTTAAAATTTTTATTTAATTAACTAGAAAAATAACACTATAACATACAGTACTACACAAAAATCATATGATCAAATGCATAATTTGTAAGTACATATGTAAGTATGTAACTAATCGGCTTTTTCGTGATTATGTTTAATTTTAGTAAATATTTTGGTAGTTTACTTCCCATTATTTTAAGACAATTATTTTACACCAATTAAAAACAGTGTTAAATTGATAATAACACTAAAAGTTATTGTGTGTGGTACCTGACCTAATAAACCTAATTATTACTCCCTCCATTTTTAAATACTTGCTCCATTTCTCCATGTACGGAGTTGTAGGAGAAATTGGAGAAAATAATTAAATATGGAGGTGGTGGGGTAGGGGGAAGAATGAAAAATTATAAAAAGAAAAAGTAGTTAAGAGAATTAGAGGAGAAGGAATATAAAATTAATAAAATATGAGTTATAGTGGGTCCACTGCGTGAGAGAAATAAATTACATATTGTAAAATCTTTCCAAATAAGGAAATGGAGCAAGTATTGAAAAACGGAGGAAGTACTAGCTTTGTCACTGTATAATTGACATAGTCAAACTTGATACGCATGTCGATGCACTATTTTAACCTTACACAGAGTTTTATATGTAGTTGACTACACCGTGTGACCGATGTTACTTAATTAGTTAGGGGTTACTCGGTCAGTTACGAATTACGCGATCAGTTAAGAGTTAGTCGGTCAGTTAGGGGTTACTTTGTCGGTCAAATTATACTCGGTTAGTGTTTTGGTGTGTGTTAGCTATGTATCAAATAATCTGAGACGAATGGAGTATAGATAATTATTATAGAAAATATTGATTATGATTTTATTTCATAAATAGAATATCATGTGAGAATTTTTTTTTTTTTTTAAATAAAACCCCCCATGTGAGATACTAGTATAAAAAAATATATGAATATCAATTGAGATATCAAAAAAAAATAAACATGTGAGATACTAGTATAAAAATACTGAATATCAATTGAGATATTAAATAAAAAAAACAAAAAAAAAACCATGTGAGACACTAGTATAAAAAATATAAATATCAATTAAAATATAAAATAAATCATGTACTGTGAGATACTAGAATAAAAAAATATGAATATCAGTTGAGATATTTTTAAAAAAAAAATCATGTGAGATACTAGAATGAAAAAAAAAATGAATATCAATTGATATATCAAAAAAATAATAAAAAAAAATCACGTGAGATACTAGTATAAAAATATTGAATATCAATTGAGATTTAAAAAAATCATGTGAGACACTAGTATAAAAAAATATGAAATCAATTAAAATATAAAATAAATCATGTACTGTGAGATACTAGAATAAAAAATATGAATATCAATTAAGAAAAAAAAATTATGTGAGATACTAGAATAAAATAAAAAAAAATATGAATATCAATTGAGATATCAAAAAAATAATAATAAAAAAAAAATCATGTGAGATACTAGTATAAAAATATTGAATATCAATTGAGATTTTAAAAAAAAATAATAAAAATAATCATGTGAGACACTAGTATAAAAAATATGAATATCAATTAAAATATAAAATAAATCATGTAAATAAAAAATATGAATATCAACTGAGATATTATAATAAAAAAAAAATCATGTGAGATACTAGAATAAAAAATATATGAATATCAATTGAGATATTAGAAAAAAATTAAAATCATGTGAGATAGAGTAATATTCAAACTATTACTTCAAAATATCAATCAAATATTACAAGCTCTAAATTGTGGCCTATATTAATAGATGTTAGCTACTTAGCTTAGCTTATGTCATTATATTTTTATTGGCATTTGAATTTGTTAAAATCAAAATCCCAACAAAAAAAAAAATTAAAAAAAAAAATTGAAATCACCCCTACTTTCAATTGCCTTACTCTTCACCATAACATTCTTATTCAAATGTCATCCATGCCAAGCAGACGACCAAGCTGGTGACATGAAGGTCTTCCTAGATGGCCATAACTTGGCTCGAAGCCAAGTCGGTGTTGGTCCATTTACATGGGACCAAACGCTTGAAGCCTTTGCAAGGGTTCAAAGGGTTCGTATGGGTTGAACCGTGGGATTGGCTACGATTCCTTGAGTAGTTCGCAAGCGATGAATACATGGGTTAACCACAAAAGAAAAATTATAACTATACTTCAAATTCTTGTGCACAAGGTCAAGATTGCTCGGCTTATACACAAGTTGTTTGGCGTAAGTCGGTCCGCCTTGGTTGTGCTAGTGTTATGTGTAGCGCTGAATGGCCTTTATATGTTTGTGTTTATGATCCTGCAGGAAATATCCCAGGCGAACGACCGTATTAATCATGTAACAAATATGATGATCGATGCATGTAACAAATAATATACTTCGTAATAGCATTGATGTTTACTTTCAATTTAATGATGATTGTTAAACATATATTGTTGCCTAAATTATTTTATGTTTATGATGATTGTTAAACATATATAGCTATGCTTCAATATTACCCCTAACATGTAAAATGACTACATGTGATGTTTCATGAGGCTAGCGTACATTTTTACGCACCTCCTCACATAATCCAATCAAATTTGGCCTGGATTAAATTAAAGGTTTCGATTATGGGCCTGACTCTTATACCATACTAAACATGTTTTTGGGCCACACCCGTCTTTGAGAAAAAAACTCCACTTTACCATATATGTCCAAGAAGTTTTCGTCTCAAAACCACATCACAATTAATGGAATAACTTCTTAATCTTCTAAATATGTGTTATGATTCAATATTATTACTTCCCTGTACGAATAAACCAATTCTTGTTTGAGATAATAGAGAACAACGGATCAAGTATGCACAACATATATTATTTGAGTAGCTTAATCGATGTATATAGTACAACATTATTCCCTTGTGTAGCTATAATTTGGTAGTACGTGTCAATGGTTTGCTACAAGGAACTAAGCTTAGAACTCGAATTAAACAATTGATCATCTAGCTAATTATACTTTAATACCACCTATAGCAATTGTAATTAAGCTCAAATGGCTCAAACAATAATACCTTAGTTTGGCAATGTACCAACTTTGGCTATCAATTACTAGTCAAACCGGAATAGTATGGAATTCCATAAGATGGAAGCCAATCACCACCTTCAATAAAATTTCCAACGGTAAAGTTGCTTGCATCATTGGTGCTGATCTCTCCTCTGTAACCCGGCCAAGTAACCCTTGAACTTATATCCGCCCCTGATCCTCTATTTTTGTACTCGCCGTAATAGAGTGTGCTTAACGCAAAATCACCCGACCATTCCAACCAACCAGCAGGATCGACGACATCCTCAATATTCGAGAGCATAAAGACCGTCCTAGAGTATTCCTTCCACGGTCGTCCTAGGAATGTTCTGTAGGCTGACTTGTTAGCTGCCAAATCAGCTGCTGCCGCAACTTTGCAGTTTAAGATGGAAATGCCGGTGTTTTGGTTAGGGTCTTCTCGGCCTTGTGCCGTGTAGATGTTCTTTTGTTTTGGAAGTGGCTCTCGAGCATATAAGTTGCAACTTTGGAGTACAACAGCCGCGTTACCAAATATAAAGTCTACCGTGCCATATATGTCACACTCCCTGTAAAATTGTCTTAGCGAGTGGACGTATAGCGTGTCTTGGTAACCTACAAAGCTGCATTGGTAAAATGCTGAGAGATCTGATCCGCTTCGTAGAGCTACTGCTTGGTGTTTCTCTGGCCCTGCGTAGTTTTCTACCGTTATACCTTTGGCTATGAAGCCTTCTCCAACTACAGCTGCATATAAGAAAGATACATTATGTTAAGTAATGTATGAAAATCAATTTGGTCATGGAATATCTTCTAATGGTAAAATTGCAAATGGATTTTGATGCAAAAATAATTTTGTTGCTAAATATGTTTTCTCATGTTCCAGCAAATAATACGAGTACAATTTGGATATTGTCCGAGTCACACACAAGTTTACTACAAAGTACTTATATAGTTAGAAACACGGCAAATACCATTAAGTGAAACTTCATAAAGTCCACATCCCTCTTAGAAAAGTGATTCAGATTGTAATATTAAGGTCCAATGCTCCAATTCAATACAAATTTAAAACTACTTAACACATTGGGCTAAAGGCCCATATAACCCTCGTTTTATTTAAAGGGCTAGTATTATCATGCTTCAATAATACTTTCAATGTTAATGACACTGTACTACTTAATTAATTATCAAGAGTTGTTGACTTGTCCTAATGCCTGATATAAAAAACACAGGATCTTTTATCAAAATGGCTACTTTTATAAAATTATTTACCAAATCGGCTATTTATCAATATTAATTCCAAAACTAGCTAACTTATTAATTTGGAAGGAAATTATTTACAAGTATATCTTTTTTTTTTTTTTTTTTTTAGGAAAATATCTTATTTTCCTTTGAACTAGTTTGGTTCATTTTATGGGGTTTTTTAATTTTTTTTTTTTTTTTTTTTTTTTTATGGGGGGGGGGGGACTAGGGAAATCTAATGCCATAATTTAAGATATCCATTGATAAGAGGGTAGCTAGCTTGTTTTTCATAGGGTGTGCTTTTATTTTCTGTGTTTATTTGTTTTACTTTCTTTATTTTAATTTCTTGTTAGTATGTTTTTCTTTTGTTAAGGGCTCTCCCTTGTTTTGCACCAAAAAAAAGATATCCCATTAATTTGAAAAATAACATTCAACATAATATATTTGCATCAATTGTTCAGAGGTGCAAGCATCATCATTTTAAAAAAATAATAAGGCAAAAAAAATCCCTCAAAAAATTGTTTCAAATTTCCAATTAACAAAAAATAAAATAAAATACAATTGAGAACATATTCATTGTCTACCATTAAATATCACAAAACTATGTGTAGATTTGATTTATTATACACATTAAACTAAAAAATATTCAAATTAGCTAACATTAACAGAGAGTATACAATAAATAGGCATGAAAAACATGAACAAAACCTTATAAACTCTTTTCGTTGTATAAATTTGCGGTAGTGTTGATAGAACAATACTACTTGAAATTCCAAATTTAATATTTGTACTCCATATATCGTTAAATTTTTCAACTTAAAAAAATCCTAAAAACTAAATTAAAATAAAACCAAAAAAACTAAATTAAAAAAAAAAATCAATAAAGGGAACCCTAAACAAAAACTGGTGCAAATTAAGGAAAAAGAAATAGCTAATTTACTTTCAAGTCAATAATTTAGCTAGTTTTGGAATTAAAATTCATAATTATCCGTTTTGGTAAATACTTTTGTCAAATTAGTTGTTTTGATAAAAGATCCAAAAACATAATTGTATTTGATATTTTTTATGGGTGTATTAAATAATTATGGCTCCACCCCTTCTTCTCCTTTATAAACTATTCATTTTTCAAAAAACATATATTATGAAATTAAAAATTATATTGTACACTTATAAATAATTGGTGCATTACAGAATTAAGAAGATCGATCTAAGCAGCAGAAAAAGTAGTCATAATTTATGAGAGTAAAAAGTTGACACCGACAGCCAAAGAAGAGAAATAAGGACCTAACAAAATCAATCATGTATTTGTGGCATCCAACCCCTTCCCACTCTCGTAAGTAATTATGGCTCCACATGCATAATTATTTAATAACTTGCTAATGCGTTTTCTGCTATTAGTCACTTGCTCATTATTATTATTTTGCTCAATTTTAGTTATAACGTCAAAACATCTTCATTTTTCTTAAATCAGAATAATTTCCAAAGGGATAAGGTGTTTGTTTGATGGGATTTGAGTAATCTATTGCATGATTCAATGTTTGTATTAAGGATTTTTGTTAGGAAGATATGATAGAATCTTCAATATGTTATCATTAGGCAAGATATATTTGATATATTTGCTAGATATTATATAATCTTATCTTAGGAAAGGATATTATTTAGTTTCCTAGTTTGATATAGATTGTTCCTTGGGGCTCAAGGTCCTCTTGTATAAATATGATTGATCTATGAATGATAAAGGCAAGCTATTGAATCATAATATTGTCATGGTATCGGAGCCAGGAGGTTCTTCATAAAATTTTTTTTAACCACCGTTTACAATGCCGCCCGGCGATAACAATCCACCGCCATCACCACCTAAAATTGAACCGAACTCCCCGTATTATCTAGGACCCCAAGATCGTCCTGGTGACTTCATAACTCCACCAGCTGCCGCGCCATCATCCACCACTGCCTCGGCCTTTTCTCCGCTTCCGCAACTCACGCCCGAGCAGTGGCACGCCGTCATGGCTGTTATGGGTAACGCGCCACCTCCTTCTCACCGCTTGAATGGTAAGTGGATTATTGACACCGGTTGTTCTCACCACGTCACCGGTGATTTCTCTTGTTTAGTGGATGTTCGTGATGTTCCTTCATGCAATGTGGGCCTTCAGGATGGTACTAGTGTGATTGTTATGAAAGAAGGAGTTGTGAAAATAACAGACAAAATATTTCTTCACAATGTGCTTTTTGTTCCTAAATTAAATTGTAACTTTATTTCGGTTTCACAATTGTGCTCTACTAATAATTGTGAAGTCATAACTAACTCTAATACATGTACTATACAGGACCAACGCACGAGGGAGGTGATTGGAACGGGTGATCTCAAGGATGGACTATATTATCTTCGGGAAGAAGCTTCTATTGCGGCTATTTCGGTTGAAGACACCTTGAAACTGTGGCACAAACGGTTGGGTCACCCTTCTGAAAAAGTTGTAAAATTACTTCCTTTTCTTAGTAATTCTAGTGCTCATTTAAATAAAGATTGTGAAGTGTGTCATCGTTCTAAACACACTAGAGACAAATTTCCTATGAGTGATAATAAAGCTTCCCGTAATTTTGAAATAGTGCATTGTGATTTATGGGGCCCTTATACCGAACCTTCTTCTTGTGGTGCACATTATTTTCTAACTTTGGTAGATGATTGTTCCCGTGCTGTATGGATATATTTATTGGTTGATAAAACTGAGGTCTTTAAAATATTTATGTCCTTTATTGCCATGATTGATAGCCAATTTTCACAGAAAATAAAAATTGTGCGTAGTGATAATGGAACCGAATTCTTTTGCTTGAAAAATTATTTCCTAGCACAAGGTATCCTGTTTCAAACCTCGTGTGTTGGCACACCTCAACAAAATGGGAGGGTAGAGAGAAAACACCAACACATTCTCAATTTTGCTCGTGCCCTTCGATTTCAGGGGGGGTTACCAATATATTTTTGGGGGGAGTGTGCTCTTGCGGCCGCTCCTATAAATCGCACTCCTTCAGTCCTATTAGGCAATAAAACACCGTATGAAATGTTGTTTGGCACCCCACCTTTATTTAATGAATTACGAGTATTTGGCTCTTTGTGTTTTGCTCATAACCAAAGGGAAAAAGGGGATAAATTTGCAAGTCGTAGTCGTAAATGTATATTTGTGGGGTACCCTTTTGGGAAGAAAGGATGGTATTTATTTGACTTGGATAAAAAGGAATTTTTTGTTTCTCGTGATGTGCGTTTTTTTGAGGATGTGTACCCTTATTTGGATGCTGAAAGCACCAATATTGATATAGCTACGGATGGTATGAATGCTCCAATAAATATGGAGGAGAATTTGGATTTTTTTACCCCTATTTTCGACAGTGATGAGGGGGACTCTATGCAGCAGCCACCGACTGCCCACACCCCTCACTCACTGCCGCCGCCCACCACCCAGCCACATAGCCCAGCCACGGCTACCCCTGACACGTCAGCTGTACGGACAGCAGGTGGTGAGGACTCCACGACACCCGAGCCAATGGGGCGTGGTCACCGTCCGAAGTATGCAAACTCCAAATATAAAGATTTTGTCACTCATACTCATGTAGCTCGAAATAGTCCTTCCAAAGCATCACTCAACCCAATTACTACTCCTCCCTCAGGTATGCCGTATCCTATAGCACATTATGTTAGTTGTGATAAGTTTTCTGCAAAACACCGAAATTTTGTTGCAGCTTTAACAGGTGGGAAGGAGCCACGATTCTTTAAAGAAGCAATGCAAGACCATGGTTGGAAGATGGCCATGAAAGAAGAAATGCGTGCATTAGAGTCCAATGGCATGTGGACCTTGGAAAAATTACCTCCCGGGAAGAAGGCACTCGAGAGTCAATGGTTGTACAAAATTAAGTACAACTCTGATGGTAGTATTGAAAGATTAAAAGCAAGATTAGTTGTCTTTGGAAATCATCAAACCGAAGGCAGATTATGATGAAACTTTTGCTCCGGTGGTCAAGATGACCACGGTTCGTGCATTCCTTGCTATTGCCGCCTCTAAGAATTGGGAATTGCATCAAATGGATGTTCACAATGCATTCCTTCATGGTGATTTAAATGAGGGAGTCTACATGAAACTTCCCCCGGGTTTCACAACTGATGAGCCGAGTCTTGTTTGTCGTCTTCGGAAATCTTTATATGGTCTTAAGCAAGCTCCTAGATGTTGGTTTGCTAAATTAACTTCGGCCTTGAAAAAGTATGGTTTTACACAATCATACTCAGATTACTCCCTATTCACTTATACAAAGGGGTCTGTGCAACTTAATGTTCTTGTTTATGTGGATGATCTAATTGTTGCAGGGAACAATTCTATGGCGTTGCAATTGTTTAAAAATTATTTGAGCAATTGTTTTCATATGAAGGACTTAGGTGTTCTCAAGTACTTCCTTGGGATTGAGGTGGCAAGGAGTAGAACCGGTTTATTTTTATGTCAACGCAAATATGCTCTTGATATCATCTCAGAAACCGGCCTATTGGGGTCAAAACCGGTCATGACACCCATCGAACAAAATCACAATTTGGGGCGTGCTTCCGGACCTACTCTTGCTGACCCAGAGCCATATCGAAGGTTGGTTGGTCGGTTAGTTTACTTGGCTGTTACACGGCCCGACTTGACATATGCGGTTCATGTGCTCTCTCAGTTTATGCAGGCACTGCAACAAGTCCACTGGGACGCTGCAATTCGTGTTGTAAGGTACTTGAAAAGTACTCCAGGGCAAGGAATCTTGCTACGGGCTGATGGTGATCTCACCCTTGAGGGGTGGTGTGATGCGGATTGGGAAGCGTGCCCCATCACACGCCAATCTGTCTCGGGATGGCTGGTCTTCTTGGGTCACTCTCCTATAGCGTGGAAATGCAAGAAACAACCAACGGTCGCCACTTCTTCTGGAGAGTCCGAATATAGGTCCATGTGTGTCGTCACTATGGAAATGAAGTGGCTAAAAGGGCTACTCTTAAGCTTGGGCGTGCAACATCCTCGAGCCATACCAATTGTTTGTGATAGTCAAGCGGCCATACATATTGCTCAAAACCCGGTTTTCCACGAGCGTACAAAACATATCGAAGTCGATTGTCACTTTGTCCGTGATGCAATACAAGATGGCCTCATTATTCCTCATCATGTGCGCACAAATGAGCAGTTAGCGGATATTTTTACAAAGGCCTTAGGAAAGCCTCAATTTGATTATCTTCTTAGCAAGTTGGGCATCTTTGATCCAAGTGCTCCAACTTGAGGGGGGTGTTAGGAAGATATGATAGAATCTTCAATATGTTATCATTAGGCAAGATATATTTGATATATTTGCTAGATATTATATAATCTTATCTTAGGAAAGGATATTATTTAGTTTCTTAGTTTGATATAGATTGTTCCTTGGGGCTCAAGGTCCTCTTGTATAAATATGATTGATCTATGAATGATAAAGGCAAGCTATTGAATCATAATATTGTCAATTTTTGAGAAATGTATGAATTTCATATTCTTTTTTTTTTTTTTCCAATTTCAACTATTTATAGTCAACTTTTAGCATTGACAATGTTTTTTTTTTGAAGATTTTTATGAAAATGTTTGTTTGAGTTTCTATATATTTATTTTATTTAATGTGGAACAAATAATACCTCCGTTAATTACTATGTGCAACATTAAAAAAATTTTAATCTCATAAATAATGCTCAAAAATTACAAATAATAACAATTAACGGAAATAGTACATGTGATACTTTAAAACCTTTTTCATGCAATCTTTAATGGGGCCGTAACACAGTTGAATATTTCTGTATTATAGCATTACAGTATATATTATAGTAGGAAAGTTTATTTTGCAAGTAAAATGGATTCAAAACATAGTAAATCCCACATGAAAAATTGTGTACAAACATTTTCAACTTGTTGTGCGCCTTGATTTTTAGTCGGTGATTTCAATTCTGTTTCAGAATTTTACTACTAAAATTCATCACACTACACTGTCATTCTGTAGGTTTGTCAAGCATGCGGTTTCTCAGAAAAAAAAAAAAAAAAAAAAAAAGGTTTTGTCAAGCATGCATGAAAAATGTATCATGGTATCTACTTTAGATTTATTCATTGATTGGAAATTTGGAATATTGGATTATGCAACTCTTGAAGTACCCTGCCTTTAATAAAATCACACACCCTTTCTTAAAAGATAAATAAATAAATAAATAAATAAATAAATAATAAATAATATCACACACTTTTTTAGATAAATGACTCTTTGCATGATTTTATTGCACAATCTACAAAATTTAAAGAATATAATTGTATGTAGACCTTGCTTGCAAGTTTGGGTTTTTTAAACATGTTGGTTGTTAGCTGGTTCATTAATTTTGATTATTGAAAAATGATAGTTAATTAGTTATTCGTATTAACTATCAGTCATTGTTATTGTTGGCCATTAGAAGTATAAATATAAGGAACTTTTAAATATAGATATGGTTACATTTAAGTAAACAACGAGAAAGGAAAAAAAAAAGGAGCATCCATGTTTGATATTTATTCCTAAAAAATGTATTAATTGTTATAAGACGATTTTAAAAAAGTTAACATAAATTTTTTTTTTCTTTTGAGTCACCGGGTTACACCAGATTTTTTAGGTTAGACTATAAACTGGAATCGAGAAATCTCAAGTACAAATTCGAGCATAATTTCTTAACAAGTCCTACTTATAATATTGTGCACTCTCCTAAATAGTAAAATCGACTTTCTAGGTATTTAGCATATACTAAATGCACAACTACGTAGGTATTTTGATCAGCTTTTGTATCAGATAATTCTATGAATATGTAATTTACATGATGTAAGAGTGTAAGACCTCTCATGTAACTACATAGTCATGCATTTTGATCAACTAACTATCGAGTTGTTTCTTTCAATTATTCAATGTTATAAAAGATTTTGTACCCATTTTTCGTAATTTTCAATTTTGTGTTCAAGTATTACTACTTTATATTCAACTTATCGATTATTGATTGTTTTACCTTAAGAATTACAGCTTATCAAGTTTTTGTTTGTAATATCATTAATTTGTAGATGTATAATTTTTTTTGGTGCAAATTTGTAGATGTATAATTAATTCTGCTACATAAGATTTAAATTAGCATTATATATTTTCTAGCCCCCACTCACATGACCTTATAAATTGTCTAAGTTGTTGCGTTGTTGGTAGGTAGATCCATGTATAAAAGATGAAATATAGCACGATAAACTTTTAAGACATAGGTCACTCTCGCTTTTTGGACATTCTAACTCAAATTTTGTCCTCCATACAAATATGCAAATTTTTATAAATTTTATTCAATAATCTTATCTAAATAGTATACGGTTTTTCCAATACAATCATCTTCAATACTTTTTTTTTTAAAGGGATATTTTCAAAAGGGTGCCGACGTACTAACGTTATTTGAATACTTGTGCGAAAAATGATAATGACAAAAGAAATTACTCGTGCAAAAGTGACCAAAAAGAGTATACTCACACATACTTTATTTTTTAAAAGAAAGTTTAAAATTATTGCATTGCTTCCCCTAAAATTAATAATATGATAAAAATCTAACTGCTTATTTTCATACTTTAAAAATAAAAAAAATAAAATAAAAAAAAAACACAATTTATAACTCGAAAAAATAAATTTCTTTAGCATATAATTTTTTTTTCACTCCTTGTATTTATTTTAGGGTGTTTTAAAAATTGATTTACTTGTACATTAATTTCATTTTTTATCAAAACTTGTTTTAAACCTTACCTCTCTAATCCCTTAATACCTTAACATAACTTAGAAACCATAAGTGGTCTGCAAGCATTATTAAAACTTACAAGTTACGCCCTTTGAGCCATATGACCTAAGAAAACTAGCTTAGCTATGATAGAGTATATAAACTGATTATTATGGGTTTCGTTTAACCACTAGCAACACCTAACACGAAATAAATCTCGCTTATAAACAGGTTTTGAAGCATGAGATTTGAATTTGTGATCTTTTGTCATGAGGTCTCTTAATACCAGGTTAAAACACCAACTCAACTAATAAAAAATAAAGCTATAATAATTGAAGCCCAAAATCGATTTCTATCAAGCTAAACCTACAACTTCTGTATTGTTAGTACAAGCCATACATACAGTAGGAGTAGTGTGGATTATTGATAGAGCGGTACATGACCCGGCCCCCCGGGTATGTCTCCTTAGAGGCTTAGAACTGCCACTGAACATTATGCCCTTACTAAAATTTACTTAAGTCTTAAATGTATATGGTTAACCTCCTACCTGTTTTACTTTCTTGATTTAAAGTATTGTTTGTTTGATATAGGAATTAAATCAATACTCATTGGTATATTTAATTCATTGGAAATTTGGAATGAATGAAGATCCCACATCAAATCTTAGCTAGGAAATGGTTAAACGACTTGTTTGTTTGGTTGTTATGAAGGCATTTACAAATTATAAGAATTTTGTTATTTTTAGTAATACCTTTGTTTCGCAATAAATACAATGTTTTTATTTTTGTTTTATTTTCGACATAACACGTTGACTATTATTTTGGTATACATGGATTATAAAATAGAAAATTAATATATATCTTGATATATATTACATTCAGAATTGAGATCAATCCAACATTATTATTTTACATATTTTATGTATTATACATGTAAAAATTTAATCAAAGTTAATTTGTAAACAATTGTTAGACAGAATTATATGTAAATACTATTTGTCTATGTTTACAATAATGCATAAAGTCAAAATTTTATACTAACATCATTTTGACTTTAATTTATTAACACACAACTTTAACCATTAATTATTTTATACATAAAATTAATTAAAAATTATTAAAATTTTATATTCTAAAAATACAGAATAAAACTTATCCCATAACAATTTTCACGTTGATATAAATACTTATATGTTAGATTGTTAGTAAAAAAAGTCGCGGTCTATACATGGACCTGAATATTGTAACCAATCAAACAAAATGTTGCATGTATTATGAAATGAAAAAAAAGTTTGAGTTATTACTAAAGACTTACCGAGAGTAGCAGACCTAAAAGTTGTGTAACCATCAACAACGTTCCTTTTTGCCTTAATAAGAGTCTTTCCAATTCCATCTCCAAGGAACATTATATTTGTCTTCTTCTTATCAACCTCCACATTCTCATAATAAGCTCCAGCCTTTATGTATATCACGAACCTTGTTGTACTCTTTTTCGGGGCGGCCGCCACCGCGTCTTTGATGGTTGTGAAATTACCAGAACCATCTTTTGCCACCACCAAATCCACCCGGGTGGTTGTGTTGCCGCTCCCGGGTGGAGCTGCTGTTTGCAATAGCCGGCGATCCTTCCTTTTCATCCAGCCCGGGAACCCGGCCTTGTCAAGCCAGTTCACATCGTCGAGGTCATCGTAGGGCAATGGCATTGTCTTATGCTTGCAATGGCGGGGTCCATGGATCTTCTTCATCATGACAAGGGAGTTACTGACATGGTGGGAGATGTTATAAAGGCCTGCTTGGATGAACTGTCGTACGGTCCTGTTGGACCCTACGGCAAACCCGTCCAAGCAGGTGAACTGGTTGGTCATGGCCGCGCTCAAAAATGAGAGAATACTACTCAAATTTTGAGTGGGGCCACACTGGTCTGCCGTTTCACTAAGGACTGTCTCGAGCTGGTCTGAGGTTTCACTCAGGAGCTCGAGACAGTCCTTCACCGCAATGTGCTGCAACCGACTTAAACTGTGTCGGTTGCCAGACTCAAGGCCTGAGACATTGGCGGTGGAGGTGCGGACTATCACCTCAGTGACACTTATAGTGTAACGGAGGATCTCCGTTAACGACTTCTTATGAAGATGGGGGATGGTGGATACAGTAGAGATACAAAGGTCGGGGTAAAGGGTGCCATCGCAATGAGATTGCGCGAGTTGGAGGTGGTTTTGGACGTGAAGATGATGAATGTGAGGTTTATGAGAGGTTTTAAAGGAGGGTTTAAGTACAAGCATAAAAATGGTGAGAATTGAGATTGGTACTATTAGTATAAACTTAGTTTTTCTTGGTATGTTCATTTTTTTTTAGGTGTATGAGTGGGAGGAGTTGTGTGGAGTAGAGTTGGAGAGTGACTTGTAGTTGTGGAAATAAGCCGCTTGTATATATACACACAATGATAAGGTGGTTAGCTAGCTTTAATTTATATTGGGCAGCCATAATAAGGTTAAGATGGAATGAATTTTCATTTTAGTTTTGTTAATCAAGGAGAATCTTTCTTCTTACAAGTTATATACTTCCTCCGTTCTATTAATATTGCAACAATGGACTTTTTGCACTATTTAATTTATCAGTCTTGTTTGACCATATAATATGAGTTATACGTTAAGCAAAATATAGTCAAGTGGGATCTTGTTAAATTCGTCTCATATATTACTTTCACAATATCAACTTTTTATAATTTTTACTCTTACACAATTATAGATATTTAGCATATAAAATGTGTTTTGAGATGCGTAATTACCTCCTTGTTGCAATATTAACAGAACGGAGGAAGTAATTATTATTGAAGAGAATTTTTCAAATTTTATTTGCATGTTGAGACAAAAAATTGTGAACTAGTATAATATCAATAGTCACGACACTATATTTTAGTATCCAAAGGAATGTAATGAGAATTAAATAGTTTTCAAATCACATTAATCTGATAATACTATTCACTTTTAGTAGAACAAAGTATTTCTAATCTACAAAGGTCTTGTTTGGCCAGCTTTAGCATTTAAGTAATTTTTACTTCATAGTACGTGATTTGACTAGCAATTATACAATGTAAAAATATAATTATGAGGGTTATTGTTAAATTAGCTCTATTATTAATACTCTTTACATATTATATTTTTAAATTTTTAATGATAATTGTTGATCATATTTGTTTTCAAATAAGTTCATAAGAAAACATCAAATTTCAATTTTTGTACATATCGAAATAGAGAAACTATGTTGACAATCAAACGATGTAGTGATTTAATAGTGGCTAAGTGCAGGTAACTTTTGTCAAAAAGTTACAAATATTACAAGTAGCTTTTTAAAAATAAAAAAACTTATTGACATATTTTATTTTCACATTATTTAGAAAAATATTTCGCTATCTATTTTCGCACGAGTTAACAATCGAAAGATAATCCCACATTCTCACGACTAAAAACTACATTTTGCCAAACAACACCTAACTTAACTAATCGTAAATGTGGTTTGGAAAATATATTATTAAAGTGGTTTTAAGTAGTTTTCTCAATGTTTGTGGTGTTGTACAACAATTTGTACTGAATAGTTTGGATTTTTTTATGAGATTTTTGTCTAGATCTGAAGAAGAATAGAATTAATTACATGTACATGATAACATGAATAGAAATGTTACTGGAATAAAGTTGAGGGAACCAAGCTCCTAACGTTGAACTCTGGCTACACTGCTAAAGTCTCCTTAAATTCGACGAATAATGTTTTATTCATTTTTATAGCATTAGGGCCCACCAAAATGGTCCTAGTGAAGAAATTTCCAAAATGGTGGGCTAAACTCCAACGCTTGTAAATTGTCTATACGTGTCCCGTGATCCATTCTATTGTCAAATAAGCCCAAGACTACCACTCCACAAGTACAGACATAGCCACGACGCCCACGAGTAACCCATATAAGGATTAATTGCCTATTAAAAAATTGATAACAAACGGGAGGGCAAGGGAATCCCTACCGCCCAATAAGGTAAGAGCCGCCTTACCAAGTTAGCCACCCCTTTTTTTATGTGCACTTAGAATTTGTTAAATACACTCGGATGTACCGAACATACTCTCATAAAATGAGCAAAATTTATTGAGTAAATAACCCGGGTGTACAGAACAAACTCTCATATCAATGATATGTAAGAAAAAGGTATTATTTCAAGTGGGTTTTTTTTTTCAAATTTTTTTTTTCTTTAACTTTGATTCTAATTTAAACTATTACTATTATTATTATTATTATTATTATTATTATTATTATTATTATTATTATTATATATATATATATATATATATATATATATATATATATAGTGATTGTTTAATTGTTGATCTTAATACTTAATAGTGCTGCAAAATTATATGTTATGATACATATATATCCGTATTAGTGTTATTGTTTTCCTTTATTTAGCATTTCAAATTACATTACAATTGTTAAACTCTATATTTAATTTTCTCTTTTGAATGAAATTGATGAAGCTTAATTCACGGCAATGCATGATGCATTTATATGGACCAATATTAAAGGGTGATAAGATACATAGAACTATGCATGGAAGTGGGTTAGTTGCTTCATTTCTAATTCTTGTCACTTTCCTGTCAAAAAAAAAAAAAAATATTTGTCACTTTATTTTACTGGCCCGTGAAAACTAAATGTACTTGAGATTCTTTACGTTTGTACTCATATAGATGACTGTCTTGTAAAGTTGTAATGCAAATGGAGAGGGCCATATAACCAACACACACATACACATACATTGATCGTTAAAAGTTAGTTTTGCACATGTGTTCTTGTTGGTATTTACTCTACTCAAAAATCTAAATTAACTACAGAAAACAGTACGGAGTATATTTTCTTAAATTAGATTAACTTCTGTCTAAGTAAAAACACTTTAGGAAACAATGCAATACAAGCAAATTCTAAAACCCTATTGGAATCCCAGGCCACCCATGCCATTAAATGAGCGACAATATTACATGCCCATTTAATTGAAAATTCTAATGTAGTCTTATGACTTTTGAATACCGATTTTTTTTTTTAAAATGTATGGCTAAGATTGTTTGATCTTTTTAATTATTTTTAATTAGTAATTTTAACTATATATATATAGGGGAGGGATCCGGTGAGAATAGGTTCATATGTGAGAATTCATACTTATATGAGAACTGATTTAAAATTTAGAACATGTGAATTAAAGTTTGGAACATGCGAGTTAAAATTTAGAACATGTGATTCAAATTAAAAATTTGAACATATGAGTAATAATTTAGAACATTTGTGTGAGTAATATGTTTAGAATATCTGATTTAAGAATTAGAACAAGTGATTAAAAATTTATAAATTTGCTTTATGAAATTTTAAACATATGAGTAAAATTTAGACATATGATTTAAGATTATGAACATCTGAATTAAAATTTAGAACAAACTGATATAGAATATAGAAAGTGTGAGTAAAGAATTTAGAACATACGAGTAATAAAATAGAACATACAATTTAAAATCAGGAACATATAATTAAAAATCTTAAAACACACGTTTTAAAATTTAGAACATACAAGTTAAAATTTTGGAACAAGTTATTTAAAATTTATGACATCGAACTTAACTAATTTATGGTTTAGAACATGTGAGTACTAAATTAGAACATTTGATTTAATTTAGAACACCTAAGGAAAAATTTAGAACATCAGATTTAAAATTTAGAACATACGAGTAAAAATTTAGAACATAAAGAGTGTTCTCACATAAGAAAATTTCTCACGAGAGCCTTCCCCTATATATATATATATATATATATATATATATATATATATATATATATATATATATATATATATATATATATATATAAAGGGGAGTTTTTTCCCGAGTTTTTAGAGAGCCACGTAGGATTTAATTTTCTTAGCGTACCACGTAAGATTATAAATTTTAGTTGTAACCAATAAAATAAGAGATTATTATTTTATTTTAAAATTAAATAATTCAGATGCCATGTAAGAAAAATTGGCGAATGAGACTTTTTTATTTAAACTAATTAAATATAAAATATTATATTTTGATATTAGGAATTTATTTAAATATGTAACAATTTTTTGCCCATAAATAAATGAAAAAATGTTTTAAAAAATTCAAACAAACCATGCATCGCACGGGCTTCATCCAATTATACTCTATAATAATCTTTCCTAATGTCATCCTAGAATAACTGAAAAAAGAAGAGAACAAATCCATTTCTGCTAGGCCTGTACAAAACTATCTGAGAATCCGATAATCCGATCCACAATTGAACCGAATTTTTGGATATCCGATCTGTGTTTTCATTTTGGATCGGATATCCGATCCGAAAAAGCAGTTATCGATCGGATGCGGATTTGGATATTGATTTTCAAATTTTCGGATATCCGATATCCGAAATATAAAGCCTAAAATAGTGAAACATATATAAAAATTAAAAATTGTTCATATAAAACTAACCCTATATTATATATATATATATATATATATATATATATATATATATATATATATAGTGTTTTACCCGGTTCACCCTTTGGGCTAATCCGAATTCGAGGATCAGTTTTGGGTGGTTAGGTTCCAGTCTCCTCCCAATTGTTGTTGCGGGGGATCGAACACGAGTACTCCCTACTAAGTGTAGTATTTTTAATAGATTTGATAATAATATTTATTGAAAAAGGAGTACTGTTGAGGCTAAAAATACCTCGTACACGTGGACCAATCCCACAGTGACACGTGGCCCAGTTATAGGGTGACACGTGTCACCATGGGAAGATGCCACGCAATTTAGAGCCCTTAATGTCTCAGGCCAATCTTGTAGCGACACGTGGCCCAGTCATAGGGTGACACGTGTCGTCATGAGAAGATGCTATGTGTTTAGGGCATGAGTTCCCCCTTTAATCAGCACACCAAAAAGCCCTAACAACGTCAGGGCCCAAATCCCGAGAGATACCAATGAAAGCCGTAAAACGGCGCCCCCAGGGCAACGCGTGGCATTCACTGATTGCGCAGCCAATCACGCCACGCCAATCTAGGGTACAAACCCTAAAAAGGGGCACGAGCCCCACCCCTATAAATACCCCAATCATTTATGATGGGAGGGGGATTCTTTCAAGACATTGATATACACAACAGAGCATTAAATAGCTCTAACTTCTCTCTACATTTTCTATCTCTAGCCTTTTCTGTTCTGATCACTAACTTGATCGTCGGAGGCGAATATTCCGTTTACCGGAATATTCGTTATTTTGCAGGTGGGACCGTCTCGTTGCCAGGAGAGTTTACCTTCGGCATAAGCAGCGGGAGCGCGCCGCCCACTCAGACACGGCCTCAACCCCAACTATGCCGGATGATTCTCACATCATTCTCTTTCCCAACAAACCAACACGGCCATCACCAGCGGAAGTCAGGCGGTCCGCACCCCAACTCCTATTCCAGTCTTTCATGCTCCAACTCCTATTATAGGCCAATCACTGCAATATCAGCCTCCTCAGGGGTTCAATGGCT